ACTTTGTTAATTATATCAACAAATCACTATATGGTGGCGAATGTCATTTCATCGGTTCTTCGATCAGTTAGTCAAACCCAACGTGCAACATGGTACATGTTTATATCGATCCAAGTTACCATACGCAATTAGCACAACAAAATGCAATTGTCTAGGTCAATCCCAGACTAGTAGGCATGGTCACATGATTAATGGTAATAAGAAGGATTAGGAATCTAAGGTACATTTCTAGAAAATATAAATTAGTGAAAGGAATTTTATAAGGAATCAAAAAGTTCTGAATCTAATGGAAGACAACTCGACAGTCCCACAGTATACATGCAATGCCTCAAAGACACCTATGGGCGAATACTAGTAGTCTACGAACATCCTCCATTTTTGAAGGTCACTGTTAAACTTACCTGTTTGTTTGTTACTTTAAAAAGCTTCTAGAAGAAAGTCATCGTGGATGTGTGGCCATAGTGTGTGCATATTTGTCATATGAGTCATTCAATAAGTACTTTATTTCTAAAAAAAGTATTATGGTTGGGTCTGTCTCTTTTACTTAAGGGTTTGAGATTTTCACCGTTTTTATAACTATTTTAGTGTATTTGTGTTATGTATCGAGAATTTTTCCCACGAAAATTTTCCTTAAAACTAGATAACATTACGTAACAAACTGATTATTGTGTCGAGGTAGGATTCAAATTAGCAACCTTTAAGTAGAATGTCCGGTATTTTACTGACTGGGACAAGAGATCTAACTATTAAACAGTCTTTAAGTGTTATATTTGACTCGGTGATATGAATAAATCCCAAGGACTTAGTCAAACTTTGCACTAGCTACTCATTCAAATCTTGTGTAAATATAAATAAGCGAAGTTAGATAAGGTGAGCATTTGGTTGATTGAGAAGCAAGGTATTTGAGAGAGGGATAACCTTGTCTAAACTGCTAATTTCTGTAAGAATGAACAGCGACTGAACGGTTAGTTGTTCCGTGACTACATGTTTAGTATCTTTGGATTAAATGGTTTTTGAGTAAAGCTGTAGTTTTGTTACCCTTATATCACAGGTCTGGTCATTACATTTACACCAGTTTTAAAGACCTCGGGGGTATCAATGCCCCGTACATTTGAAGCCGAGTTAACTAATGTGTAGTTGATTAGTAAATCGCAATAACACTGTACAAATATATATCGGGCTAAGTTGCTATATTTAACATCCTCACAGAATAGATATTATTGTGATTTTCACTAATGCAATTACTGTATAAGTTAATACTCGTTATCTCCACACAAAATGTACTCGTTCTTTGAAACGACAAATCAAAGCATTAAGATAACCAACTTCATATAGCTTGTATTGATTGGGCTGTTCACAAGTGTCTGATCCAAACATTTGAGGTGGTAGTTATTTTAACTTTGTAAGAAATCGTGAACGATGATTTCTGTTGAGGATCGTAACCAGATTTGACCTCATATTTAAGGATTGAACTGTTGATTGACTTCCAGCCCTCCTTAGATAATCTTGCAGAATAATAGTTAGAAATGCCACTAATAAGTGCACATTTTTTACCAGGTACGCGTATACAGCCACCGCCGGGGAAGACCTACTCACTGCCTTCTCGCGACGGGGCTGCTGTTTACGAAATTGAGAGAACGAAAAACTAATTTTCAGCGCTTTAACCGGGTTGGTTGACAAAGAGAGTTCACTTAGGGGAATTGGGAAACTCTGATTCCAAACCAGTGGTGCATTTAAGCTCCAGGATCCTGAAGGAACAAATGGTGTATGAACTCATTGTTGTTCAGTGGCCACTATGGGAATGCATCTCTTGACGTTGCTCCACTGCCTTGTGGATCAGACCTTTAAGTCAAAGGCTCCAGGTGTGGCCCCTTAAGAAGACCACCTGCTTTGGTTTGGGCACCCGAACAGTATCCCACCCTTCACACAAATCTAATGATTTATGTGGCGCATATGTATTTCAGTACCCTTTTGTACCAATGTTGATGTGTTTAAATGAATAAATAAAACTCATAGGATCAGATCTTAATAACTTCACCATCAGAGAACGATCAAGAAATCAACTGAAAACAAAAAAATTAAGGTGTAATTAAGAGTTTGCAAAATTATTTTTTCAGAATATTTATTTTTCAATTATGTATTCATCAAATAATAATCATAATGTAGGTGAGATTTCAGTGTAATGATTCACTTCCTATCATTTGTTACATAATGAGGTATGGTCTACACTGATTAATCACTGTGATAACCAATATGATGTTTATGTAGTCCTTAGTGTTCATCGAGTTTCATTGATTATGTTACTAGTTGATCACTAGTTTAAGTAAGTCGATAATATGTGTCCTGTTTTGACATAAGTTAATTATAAGTACTTGATAAAAAACTCGAAACCTAGTTTATAACCTAGGTTATAACAGGAAGTATAGAATCACTGTTTTGTCAGAAGTGGTCATTCACAATCCTATCGGGGATCGAACCCAACACCCTTAGACCTGTTTAAACTATTGAGCTAGCATCTAATAATGTACATGTTTAATTTCAATCAATTCAGAAAGTAGTAAGTAAACTGCTTCTCACATTCGATATGGTTCAATTTTATTGGTTATAGTTTATCGCTAAATTTTTGTGAACTATCTCTCCAACTGACTCGGAATATTTTGCACTCATATTAGAAAGAAACACTTGTCTAGTGGGTACATGAACTTGTACTTGTTAAGTGTTTAAGTTGTACATGTAATAAAGTCTTATCTTCTGGAGGTACCTGAAAACGAAATTGGATTAGAGGTGGTCTTAGTGACCTGAGAGCGTGACCGTAGTGCCCAAGGGACAACTGCTTGAGGTCGGTCACACACGACCTTTTTATGAGTGATTTTTGTGTTAGCTCCGTACTTGTTGAGACCTTACCGCCAGAGACGGATATCCGTGGGATAAGGCGAGGTGTACATTTTTAGGGTCGACCTTTTCTAACCCCACTCCTCCTTGTGGGAAGGCAGTATTGCTGTCATGCTGGTTATTTGAAGGAAACACCTTACTACTGTCATACCTTTGTACAGTCAGAAATACGACTTCGCCTTCGGACCTCGGGTTTGTTGCTTTTAGTCTTACCGCTCTTCAGCCGACCTGTCTGACATGGTAGAACCTTGAGGAACGGTTGTTCCAGCCAGTATAGCTCGGTTGCTTCATCATGATAGGCAAGTCCGACCACCATGTCAAGGTAGCAACAACGGTCGTAAATTATGACAGTTTGATTCAATGAACACATTTATTCTGATTAATAAATGCTATTGAATATATCATAAGGTAAGGATCAGCTGTGATAAATAGTCTATGATTCGTTTAGTACAATAATCTCAACAAATAATATTAATAATAATAATAAAAACAAAAACAAACACCATGGTTTTAAAGTCCTACATATCTAATCATGTATGTGTTTGTTTTTCTGAAGTTTTTCGAAAAAAAATTTTTTTTTAATATCCATCTGGTTTTTAAGTTTTGTGTGTTTAATTAAGTTAATGTAAATGAATAAGTTAATGAATTCATGAGTTAATTGAAGTTAGACTACCATAGAAAATCTGGAAACCTTGAATGATCGTTTCATCCTAGTATTTGAATTCCTTAGCAGTGTACATCCACTATCCTACCTTGTAAGATTCGAACCCATGATTTATGATTGTTGCATACGAACGCTTCAATTAACTCATGAATTCAATTATTAAAATTACTACAATCTTCACAAAAACCTCTTTCTGATTATTGAGTTTTATATTATATTCATGGTTAGAATATAGGTTTTCTCTGAGATTAGATGGTGGTTGGAGGTAGTCGACAGGAAACCCTGGACCCGAGTTTCGTGCTACTTGGCACTCGTCAGCAAGGTGTACCTGTAATCTTGAGGGAACTGGTCCTCCCTGTCGGATTCGATCCCGTGTCACCCAGCTTCACAGTCAGAGACGTTAACACTGAGCTATCCGGGCCGCGACCGACCGATTACAGGTACACCTTCCTGACGAGTGCCAAGTAGCACGAAACCCGGGTCCAGGGTTTCCTGTCGACTATCTCCAACCACCATCTAATCTCAACATATAGTGCCCGCAGTGTCGAGTCACCTAGACTGGTGGTGACATTTCAACATGATCGATAGCATTCGATCTGCACTAAATAAGGACTTGACGCACATGACATTGATCACCACCCAGTGATCAATCAATTGTGATTATAGGTTTTCTCTCTTTTGTATAAGCTCATTATTTTTTCTCATAAGGTCAAAACATGATATTGAAATAAATAATAGCTATTTTTCAGTTTTGAATAAAAAAAGAGTTGAGTTTTATCCTTGAAAGGTTATGCAAATAATGTGACTAGTAGTGGGTAACAAGATGCAAATTTGTTTCTGTTGATTAAAATTCCTAATTGTTAACACCTTGTTATTATTAGTTCTAACATCACATATCAAGAGATAGATTCTATATGAACTCGATTTACCATTCTCGAGTTATGCCTTGTCTATCAATCATTATCTTCCACATTCATGGCTACCTTTGGCTAGATCTTGTACAAATGTATATTTTCTATTTTGTGGTACGATGTGATCTGGTTGGTTTCTATATAAATCTAGTATGCTTGAAGTACATGAGGAGAGGATGAGATCGGTGTTCTAGACTTAACAGGTAAGGCTAGACAGGAAGTAGGTCCAATAAGGACTCTAGACTGCTCGTACGTCTTTTATGCGTCATTGGTCCGGGCAACAAATCACTGTCCTCTAATTGGCGGTATCATTACGTTATACATTGATAAGGGCACAAAACCACAAGTTGTAACAATTGGCGCCGAGTCTACAGTGAACTTCATGTTTATCTACAGTCAAGTGATCTTTGATTTATATTTGTAACTGTCAAACAGAGGATTGTGTACTGATGTAAAATACTTCTTAATCTATTTATTGTATTATTTCGTTCACTATCAGCGTAAATTTTGTTTTATTACTACGTTTATTTTAGCATTAAATCAAGCGCTCATTGATTATGCTGAATCATTGAATGATTTTTCAGAGTACGCTCATCAGTCAACTTGTTTATCCCAAACAGAAAACGGTATGGTGTCCGTTTTAACCATTTCTAATTTAACTGAAACAGAAGTTTGTGAAACCGATGATGATATTATAATTAAAAATGCCTTGTCAGTTTATGCAACTATAATTACAAATGTTGAAGAGGCTAGGCGTACTATGATTGTAAGTTTTATTGTTTGATATTGCATAGTTACATATTACTGTTCAATCATTGGTGAGTAGTAATTTAGCACAATATTTTCAAAGGTGTATAATGTAAAATAACAATGAGTTAAGAGGTTGTATTCAATCAGTCATTCTTTCATAATCAATGTATGAATCTATTCAAGTCGTTACATCTTAAATTGTCACATTGAGATAAAATTGGTAAGGTGAATAGCAAAAGAATCAAAATTAGGTAATATCAGTGGTACTAGGAAAGGCTAAACATGGAGAATTTGATTCGAAGAGAAGGGAAGAGTTCATGGAATGAAAGTATGTTGTAATTTATCTTATTACGATCCAGATACTTTTATTACTTAGCGACTTCTCACTAGAACTCCAGGAGTATCTCCTAAGGAGTCCCACAATAGGACGAAACGGCCGTCCAGTGCTTCCAGGTTTTCCATAGTGGTCTAGCTTCAATTAACTCATGATTTCAACTATTGAAATTACTAAAATCTCCACAAAACCCATTCTGACATTGAAATTTTTATCATTTTTTTAAACAGTAAATTACATTGTCAAGGTTAAAATCAATAAATTAAATGTTCTAAATGCACTAATCATCATTGTGCATCATGGTAACTAGACTAAGCAATCATGACATTTATTCATTTGTACTTGTATTGTATTTGTGTTTGTGTGTGTGTGTGTGTTTGTATACGGTTACGTCCAGATTTCTAATGGCATATGAATATTGTAATTGAATTCACATATTGATAATTATCAACATAAGATATTAACCATCTGCTATTGATTATGTATCCATCCATATTATGTTTACTGGTTGCAATGAAAAACAAAGAAGGGTACAAAATTTAGTGTATTTTTATATCAATATCATGAAAGGAAATCAATAAAACAGAATAAAAATAAATGGGAATAATAATAATAATCATACAGTAACTATATGCTTACAAAAATAACCCCCGATGATAATCAGTGAGTTTTCTTAATAATACACAGCTACATGACACACTACATCAGGGGAATCATTTCTCCAGTTTCGAAGTTGGCGTTGACTATTAAGTTAGTGTTTATAATTGTTTATATTCTCAATTTTAATCAGTTAGACAAGACTAGAATTTATAGACGAACTAATGAGATATAAGATAACAAGTCATGTATTTTTTTGGTGCGAAATTCATTCATACATTTGGTTAAATAAAGTTTTGACATTATAGTTGATATCAGTTCGTGATGAAAACCTTAAATCTAATTCCTAATGTTAACCATCAACTGTAAATCATAATTCTAACTGGTTTATGACCCTCATTTAGTCCTAATCAGTAAGTGTCCATTCTCAAGGTCACTTCAGCGTCGCTCAAAAGTCGTCTATAAATTATAATCCCACTACTATAAAGTTTATTATTATTATTATTATTATTATTATTATTATTATTATTATTATTATTATCATTATTATTTTGCTCTTGATAGCAACCCAATAAAGAGCTGGTCTTAACTGAACTATCGGAATTACGTTCTCTATGGTTGGGTGGTCAAAATGTAAGTTTCTAGTTTTCATTATTAAAATAACAAACAATAGATTCACTTGATATTGTTTTACTTGAATCTTCCCATTGTTTTTAGGACTGCAATTGATCAGTCTCTTATTGGCATATGTGCATACTGTGCGTATTGCTTCGATAGTGCCTTAATTCACAAGCATTCTAAACAAAGATGGATAATAACTAGCAGTGGGATCCAGAACGCGCGTTTCGTCCTATTTGGCTATCAGGACTCAGTAGCTAAGTTGATTACGCGATGGTGTTTTAAGCGAACGGTACTGACTTCGAGCTCCAGAAGGGAATATCAAATATGAGATATAGGTAGATCCATCTGATGCATCCCAGATAAGACGAAACACGCGTCCTAGATTCCACTGTTAACCTCTATCCATCTTTGCATAGATTACTTTATAGTTTACATTATGGATTGATCTTTTTTAGACAGATACTGAAAGAGCTAAAAATATACTGGACAGTTTTTTCTTCCTAGTATGGGACTCTTGCAATGAAATGAGTTAAATAAAGTTGAAAGTATAGACCATTAAATACCGATTCAATGGTTCAATGGTTAGTCGCTCTCCTGAAGACCTTAGGCTGTTGAGTTCAATTTCTGACAGGATTTTAAATGAATACTACGTGTGAGTCTCCACAATCTAATGAAACAGCTATTTAGTCCTTCATGGTCTTCAGTCGTTTTCTAACTAAAAGTTATTTCATGATGTAAACTGTGCAATTCAACATCTCCATAAATCCTTTACATTAATAAAGTGTTAAATAATCAAATGTTTCCTAATCTTTATTATTTTGTATAATTTAACTTCTTCACGGTTAATTCATAGATTAAATAGAGACGAAGAGAGAATGAGAATAATATGCACAATAAAATTGTTTAGAATTCATATCAACCATTAAGGTCTGTAAATCTTACCGAATAGCTGTTTCGTTCAAGTTTTTCTTCACTTAATTTAGTAATTAGTATATGCATGTTATTGACTAGTGTTACCTGATCTGATCTCATATGTTCTATTTATATTGTATTTCTGATGAGTAGAATATTATCTCAGTTGATATTCGTTTTCTCAGTTTTATCCTTCATCTCTCCCTTCCTGTTATACTTATATGAGGTGTGGTAACTTATACCGATACACATCCTACGTTCACTATGACTAATGGATTGATTCATTATTTCTTATTTTCCAATGATTCTGTATTTGTGATGCATCTTGTACTTGTTGAACGCTTGATACTGTCTATCTGATCGCTTCATAGTCTTAAAAATCTCATAGAATTGAACCTCGAACAGAAGGCAGATAGTGGGGAGTACATAAATCAAGGATATTGATTGGTTTGTTTGAAAATATACTGGAATTAGTAACGAAATTGTTAATTACCCAATCAAGATATGACACATAATCTATCATTTTCTTAGATCTCTGCAAGGTTTCTATTGGACGCTGATTGAATGAAGTATTTTAAACATTTTTACACCTTCCGAAAACTTTTCCAAAGAATTTCCGAAACTCCTAACAAATTGACTTTACTCTTATTAAAGCTGTTAGTCTCTATTTAGTTCCATTGAATATCTAGGTATATATTAATATTCGTTGTAAAGATAGAATCAATTCTCATCGTTCTTATTACTGATTGATTTTATTACTACTTCCTCTACCATCGTCACCGTTTCACATGACTTGTATGATCTTATTTCATGTTTGTTTTTGCTTTGACTAGGTGAAACGCTCATATGCACACACATATATAGACAGATAGATAGATAGAGACACTAGTAGTCGTTATAAATCTGTTTAATTTGATGATAAGCACACTGAAAGAAAATTGATTTTTCTTTGTTCACATTGGTGCATTCAGTTGATACTTTATCATACTATTCATAATGTAATGTGTCATTCATTTCACCTATTGTTGATATCTCTATCGGCATTGTTTTTGTTGTTGTTGAAAGTATTATTTACTTACATGTATGTATGTTTGTTTGTGTGTTTATATTTGTATCAACACAATTACGATAAGGTATTGGGTTCGAGCCTTAGTTTGAAAATCAATACTGAAGTCCAGGTACATCATCTAGCTGGCAAGTCCCAAGTTGGACAAAATGTGCATTTTGAATCTCACTGTTAGCTACTATCCAACCTTATTTCTTTAAAAAAAATTGTGACTAATTGGCAATTCAGTTAAGATGAACATATGTCTATAGCGACTGGTTGGTTGCAGTTCGTAACATCAAAAGTGATCAAATATATATAGTATTATAAATACCTGGAATTGAATTTTATGATATTCTTGATGATGTGTTGATGAATGCAAATGAACTGAAATAAGACTATGTGTATACTGCACATCAGTTTGGTTTGTAATACTTTGTGTTTGCGACCTATAAAAGTAGAAGATATGTGAAGGTTGCAAATGTATGATCACGTATATATCGAATGCATGTGCTACTGAATACTGTAAGGTTAGACGTCAAGTATCCGGTAGAAATGATAATTTGTTTGTTATGGTCATAAATCTTTATCAGTTTATATACTTGAGACATCGGTTCCATTACTTGGTTACACGCCGAGTTCCATGACATTTTTTTTATTACAACGAGTGGTTATGGTGTTTTCTCTGAAGGGTTCAATGTAAGAATGAAACAGTCGTTACAATAGTCAGTATATTATTGAAACTATGGAACTGTTTATTTTTGGATGGTAATCTCAAATCGGTTATTCAACCTTTTGTAAATTTTCATTTGACACAACACTCGTTTTCTCTGTTGTACATCATAATGATGATGATGATGATGATGAATCATTCCATCGGTTTGACCTTTTCTTTTCATTGTTAAGCCATCATGTATGATTAGTCTAAGAATTAGTTGTTTATTTACTGTTCGTGCGTATATATAGGCTTGTTTCCTTTTTATTAATTTGAAAAACAACAAACATTCATCAGTTGTTTGTACTGGTTTTTCGTTTGTCTCTCTTTCTTTTTCTTTCTTTTTTTTCGCAGCTTTTCTTGTATTCATATTAGTATGTACTGTGGTTATTACGGCTTAAATCCCATCCATCTATTTGTCCCTCTCTTTCTCTTTCTCTCTCCCTCCCATTCATCCACTCACTGTGTTTTATTTCAGCTTTCAGTTTTGTTCATTGTACGATAAACAGTTTGTATCACTTAGATTGTTTATACACGAAACGGTCATCATCAGCTCGTAACTAATTTACATGGTTGTGTTTATAATATAGTTTGTTTTTACTGTTAATTGTTTTTTTTTAAAAAATGCAAACAAGACAATTATTTCGTAAAAAGATAGTGGTTGATCCTTTATTGAATAATGTAACACATGGCCGTATAGAACCTTTAGGATTAAACTTTATAGAGTAATGAGTGGATTGGACCTCATTATATTTCTTGGGCATTTGATGAACTATCAGTGCTGATAACATTTAGTGAAGGATTTGAAGAGCTTGTTCCACTTTCTGTTAATTTGTGTCAGCTGTGTTGTTGTAAATGAGCTATTCATATACATAACATGGAGCAGACATATTATACAACAATTCGTTCTGTATTACTCTGACTGTGAAAGTGGAGAACATATTTAGGTTGACAGTACTTGGTCATAGATTTCTTCAAAGTATTGCTCATTGACGTTGAAATAAGCAAATAAACAATGTTGAGGTTAAACTTAAGGGACTATGTAAATATGGCGGATTGGTTTTTGTAGACCGAAATCACTAAGACCTGTTAGTACATTGTATAGGAACAGACTTCAGTCCAGACGTTTAGAACGATGGGCGGAACATTTCAGAGAACACTTCAGCTGGCCTTCAGCTACTCTACAACTACCCTCCATTCCCAGACAATGTGAATGGAACATTGAAGTAGGTCCCCCAACTCTAGCAGAAGTTCGAAAGGCTATAGTTAATCTGAAACGAGGAAGGGCAACTGGTCCAGATGGATTGGCTCCAGAGGTCTTTAAGGATGGTGGTCCAATTTTAGCGATTAGGTTGACTATTATTTTAGCTAAGATCTGGGAGTTAGACGTTATTCCATCTGACTGGTCACAATCACTTATCGTCCCAATATATAAGAAAGGGTCAAAATCATCCTGTGACAACCATAGAGGGATTAGTTTAACTAATATAGCGTCTAAAATATTAGCCTCGATAATTATCAGACGCCTAACTAAGACTCGTGAACTGCAAACACGAGAGAACCAAGCTGGCTTCAGACCTGATCGTGGCTGCATCGACCACATATTCACCATTCGTCAGGTTCTAGAACACAGGCATACTTATCGTCGTCCGACAATGGTGGTCTTTCTCGACTTAAAAGCAGCATTTGACTCGGTAGACCTCGAGATTCTGTGGCAGTGTCTGTCATTGAAAGGCGTACCTCAGAAATACATAAACCTTGTGAAGGCTCTTTACTCGAACACTACTAGTCGAGTCAGAGCTTATGGCGAACTGTCATCTGCTTTTGCAACCTCAAGTGGCGTCCTTCAAGGCTGTCCACTTTCTCCATTTTTGACAAACTTCATCATACACCTATTGATGGAAATAACATTCTCATCTACTGAATTCTCGGGTATTGATCTCCTTCCAGGAGGTCCACTTATCGACTTAGAATACGCAGATGATATAGTCCTGTTTGGTGAGGACGCTGACAAAATGCAGAGTCTTCTGGTAGCACTGAGCAACAATGCCAGGATTTTTGGGATGCGCTTCTCTCCCTCTAAATGCAAGTTGTTGCTTCAGGACTGGTCTGCGTCAACACCTGAACTAAGGATAGGAAGTGAAGTAGTCGAACGCGTTGACAACTTCACTTATCTTGGAAGTCTGATCAGCCCTAATGGGTTGGTATCGGACGAAATCTCAGCACGGATTCGAAAAGCTCGCTTGGCTTTTGCCAACTTGCGTCACCTATGACAAAGGCGAGATATCCGTCTATCAATAAAAGGACGAGTATACTGCGCGGCAGTCCATTCTGTTTTAATTTACGGCAGCGAAACGTGGTCATTAAGAGTAGAAGACACTCGTAAGCTACTAGTATTTGACCACAGATGCCTTAGAAATATTGCTGGCGTCTGCTGGGATCACCGGGTAAGTAATAGTGAGGTTCGACACGGGGTATTAGGGAATGATGGTAAATCAGTTGATGAGGTTATGAATCTTCATCGACTGAGATGGTTGGGCCACGTGTTACGTATGCCTGAACACGGATTACCACAACGTGCAATGCCATTCGGTGTTCGGGATGGTTGGAAGAAAGTTAGGGGCGGCCAAACCAAAACGTGGCATCAGTGCTTGAAGTCACTAACTTGTAGTCTGAGCCATGCTGGTAGATGCAGACTACTTGGTTGGGGTCCGCGTGACTATTGTAACCAATGGTTGGAGACTCTTTGTGACATGGCTCAGAATCGATCACAATGGCGTCGGTGTATACACTCCCTGTCTTCCTTTAAACTAAGAGATTAAAATCGCTTCATATCTTTCTTTCTATGAACTAATTCTTTCTTCCTGTACTATATCCTTATTGCAATCTTTCTTTTATATATTACCACCTCTGAATTAACTACTTTTATGAATCCGGTGTCCATCTTGTTGTGTTAATGAGGTATGGGAACTTGGACCGATGCATATATGTGCCTAGTTCTACGTTGTAGTTGACTGGCTGACTGATAGGAACAGACTGGAAAAAGATTACGGTCTGGATAAGCAAGATGTGTCGTATCACAGCATCGAGTTATTGACTGTTTGCCTGGACCTTGGTTACAGACACTAAATGACATAGCTAAAAAATGGTTTCACTAACTCAGGTATATTCATTGCCCATCTGCCTCCAAATCTTGAGTGTTAATATAGTTTCATACGTTTTACTCCATTATTATATTACTTTTTTCCAACTGTATTATCGATGTTTAATATTCTACTGTCATCGACACTACTATTACTCCACTATCTTCGCTAGATATCTTGCTAATTTTGTTTAACTGTGCTTGATATGGTGTTTTAACTTGATTTGATGCACACATATCCGAAACACTTTGTTGTTATAATTGGTTGAGTACGGGGTTCTTTGGCTACTTATTTTCAAACCAACTACCATTGTCCTCTGAATATTCAACCTTCATCCAAATGAAACTGCAATTTTGAATTAGGTACGGAAATGGTTTTTTATAAAGTTACACATAACTTTGCAATTCTGCAGGGTCACATGTTAACTGAGGTGGACTAGTGTAGGCGGTTAGTTGTAAATAATGTCACTATAATATTAATGTATACTTTTTTTGCCATTGTATCGTTATAAATAACCATTAATAATGCTAGGCGGATTGGGTGTTCCTGACAGTTAGCACATGTTACGGGAACCGATGTTCGATGTGGGATTGAAACATGGATCACCCCACTTCACAATCTGAGATATTATCACTAAGTCATTCAGGCAGCCACTGACCTCTCGCTGAACTGAAATATTTACAAATGATTGACCATTGAGTAGTGACTAACGTCATTTTTCTCTAATTCTCTTGTTGGTCGAATTCTGTTTATTGAGGACTGTAGGTACACACTCCTGGTTAATGTCAAGTGGAACGAAAAATCTGTCGAGGACTTCATGATGGCTACTTCCAACGACTTACTTACTTGCCTGTTACTCCTAATAGAGCATAGGCCACAAACCAACAAACTCCAACCCACTCTGTCCTTGGCCTTCTTTTCTAGTTCCATCCAATTCTTGTTCATTTTTCTCATGTCTATTTCCATTTCTCGGCGTAATGTGTTCTTTGGTTTTCCTCTTTTTCGTTGGCCTTGAGGATTCCATGTGAGGGCTTGTCTTGTGGCGCAAGTTTGTTGATAGGATTCAATCACCACTGAGGATTAGTAAAAATTTACTCTAGTCACCACTCACCGATCAACCAACTGTTAGGGTTTGAGATTCTTGATGATCTAATATTCTACGATACACTTCGTCACTGACTAATTTTAGATGATAAACCATTAGACGCCTGGGATCAATGGGACAGATATCTCTTCTCTACTCTATCGAGGTTCATCAGCCGTGCTAACCTACAATTCACCAGAGATTAGATCCACGTTAAATACTAACTAGAAAACCTGAATATTCTGGTTTTAATCTCATCTAGGATCGTTGGTTTACACCGCTGACTAGTTGGAAATAAAAATTGAAATTATGCGGATATGAAAATCATACTCGATGCACATGTAAGTGGCTATATGGACTCAGGAGTTTAGCGGATAATGCATAGTACCTTTGAAGAGAAAGGCATTAGGTTTAAACCCCAATGTAGACATCAACACTGGTATGCAAGTACGTTCAGGTGAAAAATTTCAAACTGGACAAAATGCTCATCCTGATATCTACCACTAATCACAATCCATCAATTGGCCTCGTGTATTATTTACATGAAATGGATTTCATAATTTACGTTTCTAAATAATGAAGGTTTATTGTTTTGATTTTTGCTCTGTGTTAGACTAATGTAAAAGCATTTCAAAAAGAAACTAAAAACTTTTGTCAATACCTTGAAAAATACGCATCAATTAAATCAAAAGAGTTTACAGAAGATGTAAGTTATTCAATGTTTTATAATGATTAAACAATCTTAATTTTATTATCATGAGGATTTGTGGAGATTGTAGTAGTTTAACAGTTAAATTCACGAGTCAACATAAGCTAGATCATCATTGAAAACCTGGAAGCACTGGACCACCGTTTCGTCCTAGTACGGGACTGCTCAGCAGTGCGCATCCATGGTCCTGCATACAGGACTCAAGCCTAGGGCCTTCGGTTTTGAGCGTGAACGCTTAACCTCTGGACCACTGAGCCGGCATCCAACGATGATAATGTCTAACTTCAATCCACCCATGATCTTGTGCAGCCCTTCGTACATTCTCTCTGGTGGTTAAATGTCTCCACCCGTCACGAGTTTCACATGCTAAACAGAAGGTCCTGGGCTCGAGTTTCGCGTGTGAGATCGTGGATGCGCACTTCTGAGTCGTCTCATACTATGGAGAAACGGCAGTCCAGTGCTTCTAGGTTTTAAATGGTGGTCTACCTTAGATTGACTCATTAGTTCAACTTTTAAAAACTTAATTTTGTTTTCGTTCATTCAGTTCAGAAGTTATTTCTGTAAATTTTCCTTGCAAAACTGGAAAATGCACCACTTAAAATTACAATTAGACATTTATCAACTTATTATCGCTATATAGACGATACTTTCATAGTATTAGAAAACGAAGATGATAACGATAATTTACTTAATATATTTAATAACGTTCATCCATCAATTAATTTTACATCGGAAGAAGAACAGAACAATAGCATATCATTTCTAGATGTCTAACTAACTAGACGAGCAGACGGAACTTTAAAAAGAGGGGTACACAGAAAGCCTGTAACAGGACAATACACTCATTTCTATAATACAGTTCCAATCAGATACAAAAGGAACTTGATAAAGATCTTGACCCATCGAGCCAGAATGATTTGTTCGGCTGACACTGTTGGAGAGGAATTAATATTCGTAACTTACTTAGTAAGAATGAAATTCATCGATAAGTAAATGAAGGAGATGAAAAGAAGGACAAAGATACCTACTGTCCCTAAGAAAGTATCGTTCATAAAATTACAATTCGTAAATGACACTACTGAAGAAATGGTGACTTAAAGACTAAGAAAAGCTGTACAAAAAACATTTAATGCAGCCTGACTAAGTACTATCTTCTGCAACCACCCTACAACAAGGACGGACAATAAAGACAGATCGATTCAACTGCTCCTGTGAAGCCAGTTATATAGGGCGTACAATTCGGCAAGTTCGTCATCGTATAACAGAGCTCTATCCATCGTGGTTGAGCAAAGGACAGGTAAGAGTGATTAAGTGTTCTGTTCTCTCTCACTTGGTTGACACAGGTCATTATGTTGAACTGAATAAAGCTTTTAAGGTTATCTACCATATTCCATCAAATTTGCCACATGGTTTATGAGTGAGTCTTTTTCACATTGCGGAAGCTGTCGCAATCCAAGTTCATAAACCTAACCTTTGCATCCATAAGAAGTTTGTACAACTACTTTCGCTACATTGGTCATCGGTATAAGAGTGCTTGCAGCAGAACTATTTTTCGTGCTTCTTCCATTTGGTTTTTATTATTTTTTTAAAATTTTTTTGTCTTTTTCTCAACATTCATCGGTTGATTCTTACATAACTACTATTCTATTAACCATCCATTATAATATTGTGTTCCTTCTCTTTTTCATATATTATGCAACATAGCAACTTCTTGATTTTCGAATAATCACTTTGGTTATTGTTATTCCTCTCTCGCAATTCTCAATGTTAATTTATAATCGAAATGTCATTATGTAATTATTACGTAACGTATCCACTTGATGAGTATTATTTCACTATTGTAAATCATATATATATAAATTGAAAAGAAATTTCTTCGCTCAATTCGTTCCTTCTTTAGTTTTGTGCGACTATAAATATTGATTGACGCTTGTTTAAATCTAGTTGGCTTACGTACCTTTTCCGCTGCGCTCCGTCTCGTTTTTTCTCTCTTCTTCGCTTCCTTTGCTACGTCTCTTTGATTATCTATTCCAATATACAAAATATACGTATTCGAAATTCATTCTCGTATTTGATCTATTTTTATTACCGGTATATTCATTTACGAGTATCCCATGTACCTAGATAAATGGTTGCTCTGGTTGTTAGAAGGGGCATCGGCCTCGTGACTTCCGAAGGAACTCGGCTTTCATCATGAGGCGTCATAACTCTTCTAAATGAAGACCTTCTGGCTCTCAGGGCAGAGTTTAAAAGGTTTGAATAATTTTTTCTGGTTAGCGTTTTTTTAGCGAATTAGTTTTCTATGGGATGAGGTTACTAACCCCATGCCCAACCGTCCTTTATCCGGGCTTGGGACAGGCAGTAGCCCCCGGGGGGACTCAAACTGTGGGAAAGGACAAACCAGATCCCAGCGGAGGAAGAAATCAGGAAGAAGCGCTGGAAGTGAATAGGACACACACTGAGGAAAGCACCCAGCTGTGTCACAAGACAAGCTCTCACATGTAATCCTCAAGGCCAAAGGAGAAAAGGAAGACCAAAGAACACATTACGCCGGGAAATGTAGATAGACATGAGAAAAATGAACAAGAATTGGATGGAACTAGAAAAAAAGGCCCAGGACAGAGTGGGTTAGAGAATGCTGGTCTGCGGCCTATGCTCCATTAGGAGTAACAGGCGTAGGTAAGTAAGTAATATTCACTTACATGGATTAGGTCGATAATAATGTACGACAGTAGTCAGGGTGTATATTTCGACAGCAACCATTCAATAACAATCATTCATATAATCTACTTGAAATCAGATCCTGGATCACTAAATATTCTCTTATTTCATTTTTGTGTATTCTTTCTGTCTCTTCTTCTTTTCCTATTTGCCCAAGTTCAACCTTCTTTTCTTTTTGCTTGTTTTATTTTCATTATAGAATGATGCAAAAATGCTTCAAGAACGTAAAAATTATATTGCAAAAGCATTTGAATATATCAGCAATATAAATGAAGCGCATGAATTGAAAAAATCCAAATTTGTTCAAACAGTAAATTGTTGTTCATTAGTAGCATAACTGTTTTATTATTATTATTATTACACATGTTTAATTATGATAATTAACCATCCGAATTGCCCCCATGATGTTAGCGGACAGTTGTATTCAGTAAAACGAATTTTATCCGTTTAGACGTTCATTTCCGAAGCAGTACAATTAGGTTTAATACGAATAAGTCAGTGAGCAAAAGTCCTGGTTAGCGTTTTTTAGCGAGTTAGTTTTCTACGGGATGTGGTCGCTAACCCCATGCCCAACCCTCCTCCTTTACCCGGACTTTGGATCGGCAGTGACTCTAGAAGAGCTACGGGCGGAGTTGAGCAAAAGTCCTCCGTATAAATAAGTCAACAATGAAAAAGAACTTATTTTCAAAAAGGTGCATATTAATAAAAGTGAGTATTATAAGAGGGAATAAATATATTTAAACCACCATCATTGGGAATGTACGGAGCTGAAACTTGGAGAACTACTACAACCATCATTAGGAAGGTACAAGTATTTATATATCGTTGTTTACGCAAGATACTCAACATACATTGGCTGGATACCATCAGCAAGAGCCTACTGTGAGAGAGAACAAACCAACTTCCAGTTGAAGAGGAAATTAGGAAAAGACGATGGAAATTGATAGGACACACATTACGGTAATAACCAAACTTGGAATCCTGAAAGGAAAAGGAAATGTGGAAGACCAGAGAACACATTACGTCGAGAAATAAAATCAGATGTGAAAAAGATAAATAACAACTGGAAAGAGCTGCGAAGGATTGCCGAAGACAGGGTTGGATGGAGAGTGCTTGTGGGTGGCCTATGATCCTCCACGAGGAGTAACAGACATAAGTAAGTAGTAAGCATCATTGGGAATCTGAAAGCGCTGAACAACTATTTCATTCTAGTATGAAACGTCTGAGTAATGCATATTCACTTCTTTGGAACTTGAAATCAGTCTCGAGTCCTTCATTCTTTGTTTGAAATTTAGTCGGTCTACCGTCTGTCCCTTTATATTTATGATCAATTAAAAACGTAGTTTATTAAGTGTTCAATTCAAAGTTAATTTTTTTGAATTTGGTAACAATTTGTTATTGTTATTACTGTAGTCATATTATCTCATATATCATCTACATTGAACAATTAAATTGAGTATTCAATTAACCTGCTCATCATGCTTGCCTTTATTAATGTGTAAGTTTTTCAATTACGGCCTTCTAAGTGTCAACATTTTGCTTATGGCCTAATGAACTGATACTATACATTTTTACGATCAATTCGTATGTTTATGAAAATAATTGACTATACAGCTTGAATTAAATATGTATGAGATGAAAGGTCAGTCCGAAAGAGATTTTGTGCATCTATCTAGAGTGGGTGTTTTTTTTGATGAAGTTTTGTTCTGTGAGCTGGATTGTTTGGTTATGGAGCTTTCATCGTTCTCCTGGACGACATCATTGATATGATTAAACTAGGACGATCTACAATAAATGAAAAATGACAATAATTAGGTTCTTTTATTGTGCGACATTTAGATTTTTGTTTTGATATATATATTTCTTTCAATTTCTTGTCAAATATTCCTCGAAATTTAAGTTGAGATCAATTTTAAACTGATTGGTTACTGAATAGTAACCATTTATATTGACTGAACTCTATCGATCCAGTTACAGTGTGGTCAGTAATTTAAGTGCGATTAGACATTGAGCATATTATATGTGAATGTTAGTTGTCGGAGTAAATATGCAAAAAATACTAAATCTAGGTCATGTGGCAATCGGCATTCATCAACAAGCCTTACCTGAGATCTTAAAGATGTTGATATTTTCTTAAGGTTTCGAAGCCAGTTCTTACTTTACTTACTTACGCCTGTTACTCCTCGTGAAGGAGCATAGCCCGCTCACCAGCACTCGCCATCTAACCCTGTTCTGGGCAATCCTTTTCGGCTCCTTCCAGTTGTTATTCAACTTTTTCATATCTGCTTCTATTTCCCGACATAATGTGTTCTTTGGTCTTCCTCTTTTCCGTTTCCCTTCAGGATTCCAAGTTAGGGCTTGCCTCGTGACGCAGTTTGACGATTTGCGTAATGTATGTCCTATCAATTTCCATCAAAGCCAGTTCACACTGTTTTAGTTTTTGAAACCTTACTGTTTAGCATTTCACTCAACGACTGTTCTCACATAACACTGAGGTACTTACATTGGCTTATCAATGAGCATTAACTGATATGAAATTTGTCTTGATCATTGTGTTCATCATAGGATTATTCATATTAATAATTTATATTAAAAACTCTTCATGATTACAAATCTTAGATTGTTTCTTTCATCTACGTAAATCTATGCAATAAACCCTTTTTATCTACAACTGATCATATTAGTATTCAAATAAGCATACAGTTTATTAAATCTTCTGCTAATTTGAAGTTAATCAACATCAAAGACCGATAGATTCTTGAAGTATTAGTGTAGTGAACGAAGACTTGGTGGGTATAGTCAATTTATTGGTTTACACAAAATTACACAATGCCTTTGTAATAAACTATGAAAATCAGATAGTAAATACATCATTTACACATCTTCCCTGAGTTGTCTGTTATGTACTTCATTATTCTTCTAATCCTGTTGTTATTTCAATTGCTTTATGTTTTCCTTCTTGTTCTCTTTGTTCCAACCTCCTGCTGGTAAGTATTTCATTCCTGCTACATACTACTTATGTCTGTCTACATATGTAGTGCCCATCACAATAGTATTCGTAGTAGCAACAGTACTATTAGAAAAGTATTAAAGAGGTGATAAAGTAAACAAATCATTTCAACCTTTGAATTAGGTCAAATTTTGGGTGAGATGAATACATTAAAAACGAATCAATGAAGGTAATTTCATACAAAAGGGCGGTAGGTGTGTACATGTTTGCGAATAATTCAAGTTTACTTATCCTAAGGTTTGCAAAATTGATAAAATGTATACAGATTGATAAACATATTAAGTCTTTGTTGATCAATCCGAGGATAAAGTTAATATCAAATTATGGTTGTCCGTTTAAATTTCCTCATAATCTTAACTCTGTTTCTGAACTACAAAAGGATGTTCAATTACCTATCTTACCATAACAAATGCGTTTGTAAACCTCTATTGAATCCATAGAACTAAATAATTTATAATCAGAGAGGGGTTTTGTAGGTTTTATAGTCACTTAATAATTGAATTCATAAGTCATTTGAAGCTAGACCATCGTGGAAAACCTGGAAGCACTCAACGGCTGTTTCGTCCACGATCTCACCTCACGAGATTCGAACCCAGAACCTATCGGTCTAGCATGCGAACACTTAACCTCTAAACCACTGAGCTGTCGTTCAACAGTGTTAATGTCTATCTTCGAATCTCACGAGACGGGGTCGTGGATGCTCACGGCTAAGGAGTCGCATACTAGGAAGAAACGGCTATCCACTGCTTTCAGGTTTTCACTTTATGCATTAATCCATTATCCACTCAATTTTGCACGTAGAATAACAACGTCGAACAGAAATTTAGTTGTAACTTTTTATGCATTCGTTACTATACTACTCTATATATCTAATTCTTGTAAAAGAACATCTACTCCAATTACTTTATATCGATTAACATTTTGTAAATCTTAAACACATACAATAACCCATTCATCTTCATTACTACATTCACTCTCTTTATTGCCATTAATCTTCAATTGGTGTTTTTGTTTTCTGTGTAATGTGATTGTCAAGTTCATTGCTTACATCTTTTATTTTTCTTTCTTTCTAATTATTTGAAATATACAATAGTTGTTTGTTTTAATTCAATTGTCAATATTGGATAATTTACATTCATCATCATTCTTATCATTATCATCATTGTTAGGTGTACCACTGACATTGATTACATTATAGCTATTATAGTTAGTTTCCATTATGTGTACAGGTTTTTAATCATTAAAGATTGAATGAGTTGAAATATGCTTTAATTAATTTGTAAGACTACTCTATATGCTCTTTGTATCTATGCTCTTCACATGTTTTATAAGGTATATAATATAGCTGTTTGTTGTATATATGCATTATTAAGACCTATAAGCAAAGATGGATAGTGACTAGCAGTGGAATCTAGGACGCTCGTTTCGTTCTATTTAAGACTTGTCAGCTGGATATACTTGCATCTTAGAGTTGATATTCACTTCGGGTTTTGAACCCAGTACTGTTTGTTTCAAATGCCATCACTTTATTCACTTAGCTACTGAGTCCTGAGTGTACATCAACTTTCAGATGTATGTACATCCAGATGACAAATTCCAGATTGGACGAAATTCACGTCCTGGATTACACTGCTAAATATTATCCATCTTTGCTTAGAATGCTTGTGAATTAAGGTTATATCGAAGCAATCCGCACAGTATGCACATATGCCAATAAGAGACTGATTAATTGTAGTCCTAAACAACAATGGGAAGATTCAAGTAAACAATACCAAGTGAATTTCATTATTCAAACCATTTATTGGATGATGGGTAAATAGTGTTATATAATTGGAAGAGCTCTAACAGTTAAGCTTTACTTACTTGACTTTTACGAACTTTTTTTTAGAAATTTCCAAGTCGTTCATAAAATCTTATAATGATTCTTTTTTTTTCCGCTTGAAGTTTGAATTCATATCATTTAATGTCATGGAACAAAAAGATTATAACTGATTTGACATGATTTTCACTGACTTTTAACATAGAAACGAAAGATTTCACATTGGAGACTGGATGTATATTATTGTGAAACGACTAATGTCGTGGTACGACCAAGAATGGGGGAGTCATCTTTCCGTCTCGAAATGCTCTCACATGACCATGCGTTTATAAAATTAACTTATAGATTGCTTGTGCGAAATCCACTGGCATTATTCAGCTAGGTAAATAGGTGTAAACTGAGTGTGAGTTCGAAGTTGTTAACTTTTGGTTGTACGACTACTACCATCATACCACTACTACACAAGTTGTAGACCTATAATACTGAATTTTATTGTTAGACAAAACTCCCATCCTGTAGTTTTGTACAACTGATAAGTTTGTAATACACGATTTTATGTTAGTTAGAATAGTTGACCTGTGATTTGCCAGTTAAGTGTACCTTTATCTGAATGTTAGTTTTAACATTCGGATCGGAATCAAGTACCTTCCACTTCAACATAAAAGTGTTATCTACTTAGCTATTAATACCAGATAGGTTATTATAGGAAATCATTAGAATTTCCGTTTTAGCTGACATTTTTTAGTAAGCCTTTGGGACGTTTAAAAAAATCATTGCTCTCTGTATCATCCGTACAATGTAAAATACAATTATAATCCACGTGATTTTATGCTACTGAGACTGGTTGCCTACACGACTACCTGATGGGTACCATTCGATCGAAGCTTACAAGTCGGCAGTTCATTATTCAGCAAGTCAACCATTCAATGTGATCTTGAGTGTTGTTAGAGTTGTTTATGTCACTTCCCGGGTAACGAAAGATTATTGGTCTTGAGAGACCTTATGAGTAGTTCTTGACGTGTCCTTATAAGGCATTAGCAACGGCGACGGGAAGCTTTAGGGCATTGTGTGATGTGATTTTTAAACTGACCTTTTCTAAGGCCTTCCGTTTCAATAAGACAGGATCACAACGGATACTAGTTATCTAAGGGAAATACCCAACAGCCGGTCGTACGGCTTCGTCCTTATACTGCGAGTTTGTCGCCTTTAATATCATCACTTTCCAACCAACTTGTTAGGCATGATCAGGTTTTTCAGTTGATACATTTCGATAGGGTAATCATGTTAGTTAAGGTTGATCGTCACATCATGGTTACAGTCACAATCGAGACAGTTTATTCGTGTTCACGTATGATGTTGTTGAACGTCTATATGTACATGTATTTGTATCTCTGAAACAAAAAAAAGAAGTAAGGTTTATTATTTGTGTTGTGTTCTATTTAACTGTGTATTTTGTCATGTTTTCATCTGTAGCGGATAACCGATTTTAATCCAATGTACCACTATAGGACAGTCAAATTAATCAGATGTGAAATAAATTGAATGGTGGTATTGAAAACAGTTCGGTTTTTTTTGTTGTTTTGTATTTGGATCTGATGAAAGTCACATGATTAGATTTTGTAATGTTTAATTAGAAACTAAATGATTTATGGTACACGTTTTAGTAATTGAAAATATTGATACTATAAGGAAACTGTGTGGTGTTATTACCAATGTAGTGAACGAGATCACAAGTGGGGACAACCAAATGTATTTGGATATAAAATTACACAACATTTTAGTAAATTTTGAGAACTATACAGTAAATACTTCATTTGCAACATGTCCATCAATTGTCTCAAACTTGTCTGTTCTTTCTGAAAAATGTCAGCCAATTGTCTTGGACTCCATTGTTCCTTTGCTTCCACAGCAATTATACTCTGTTCTCTTCGATCTTCTCAACCATCTACTTCCAGGCGTTCAGCTTTCGATTGGTGATATATATTACTTATATCTGTCGACATCAGTAGCACACATCGCACCGATAACTCAAATTAACCAATATTCATTGATGGTTGACAGATTTATACTTTTTTAAATCTTCGTTCAATTACTTAGATGATATAGTTGTATTTGGTGAAGATGTTGACAAAATAGTCTTCTGACCGTCTTAAGGTACCATGTTAGCATGTTAGGGATGTTTTCGTCTCTCTCTAAATAAAAAATATTTCTTTAGGAGCGGTCTGTGTCTGAGCCATGTAGGCAGGTGCATACTACGTGGTTGGGGTTCAAGTGACTAAATTGGTGGTTAGAGACTTCGTGTGAAACCTCTCCGAATTACTCACAATGGTGTTGGTGCATTTACCCTCGATTTTTGCCTCCAGATCCTAAGTTTTTAAATTCCTTTAGGCTTTTTTCATCCCAATGGTTCACATTTCTTGAATTGTATCTTGGATGCCTAATCTTTTCTATTATCACTAATACGATGACTACTTCTACTACTACTCTGAGATCGGTCCTGACAATTGCATCCTTCTGTGCTAATTGTGTTTGTCAATTTTAACCAATGTACACATGTACCATGTTCTACATTGCATATGACTAACTGACTAGCTTAGATAATTCTTTTGCTATAATCCAAATACTTAGACCTTTACAGGGTCGCTGAAATTGATTATCCTCAGTCTCTGTTAAAATTAGCTTATCCTGAGCGGATTCCTCGGTATTGTCTATAATCCTAAGTTTTGCTTCTTTGGGTATTGTTGGCATCTAAGCTGAGGCCATTTTTCTCATACTCTGTTCGACTGTTAGCTATGATGGGTAACTTACAATGTTTTTAATTATAGTAAATTTTCAGGAATTAACTCACAATGAGGTGTATGTTAACAGTGACCAATCAAATACAGTCTTGAATATAATAACAGCCTTATTGAACTTGCTGAACTTGTCAAGGATTAATTAATCTTAGAACCTTAGTTAATAAAGCTTCGACATTTAAAACGACAGGTATTAGGTTTTGATTTCGGTATGAACATCAACACTGGAATGCAAGCATATCTGACCAATAAGTCTCCGATTGGACAAAACGCTTGTCTTGCATACCAATTCTAAATCTTAATTTCGGTAAGGATTCACTGTTTTTAACCTTAAAAATTTAAATGTTTCCCGAAAACAAGTGACTTGTGCTATTGTGTAAGAGGAATTGAATTGATAGGATATTTTGCCAGCAAGAAACGTATTGAAATATTAAGCAAAGTTGAATAATGGTTAGCAGTCAAATTCAGTTTGATGCGCGTTTCGTCCTATTGTGGGACTCCTCAGTAGTGCGCATCCACAATGGACTTAAAACTATAGAGTATGATGATGTTATCGAGAACGATCATTCTCTCTAATACTTTTTATTGTTACTGTTAGAAAAGAATAATCACAGTACAATTGCAATTGGTGAGATGATGCATAGATTAGAACGTGTTTATCAAATACCATTATTTATGAACTGGTCTTTGTAGCATACATTTTGTGCAAAATTCGAGAATACTTTTCAGAGTAGAGATAAGAGTCAGAAATTTGAATCTGTTAGTGTAAAGTCGACTGACATTCATTAATGAAATATCAGTTCCTTCATGGTTTCACATGTGCCTTGTTTATGAATGCCAACTAGTATTAAACCTAGGTCTACAATATATTGCCAGTTACTTTCAGTCACATGGGATTAACAGTTATCTGATTCAGTCATTAGGACAAATGTTTCAAGTAGCTTTCATTGCCTTTGTAAATACTTACTTACTTACGCCTGTTACTCCTCGTGAAGGAGCATAGGCCGCTCACAATCATTCTCCATCAAACCCTGTCCTGAGCAATCCTTTCAAGCTCCTTCTAGTTCTTATTTATCCTTCCCGTATCTGCTTCGATTCCCCGATATAATGTGTTCTTTTGCCTTCCTCTTTTCCGCTTCCCTTCAGGATTCTAAGTTAGGACTTGCTTCGTGATACAGTTTGATGATTTGCGTAATGTATGTCCTATCCATTTCCATCGTCTTTTCCGAATTTCCTCTTCAGCTGGAAGCTGGTTTGTTCTTTCCCACCAAAGGCTGTTGCTGATGGTATCCGGCCAATAGATGTTGAGTATCTTGCGTACACAGCTATTTATAAATACTTGTACTTTCTTGATTGTGGTTGTTGTAGTTCTCCAAGTTTCAGCTCCGTACAGTAGAAGCTCAATATTCTTTAACGTAATTGACATTTGATTTTCATTGTTCTTTATTTCCACTCATTCTCTTTTATAATTTTTTATTCTTTCATAATTGATCAATATACAGGTAAGTTTGATCATGAGAATGCTGTCAAATTTCTATTATCAAGCTTTCGAACAATTCAAAGATTCATCACATCAAATTAGTCAGATACTTCAAGCTGCACAGCGTGTGAGTGAACCTATTCTCTCCCTCTCTCTGTGTTTTCTCTTGTATAATTTAATGTTTTGTGTGTATGTGTACATGTATATGTTGTGTATTTTCGTATCCTACTAGATAGAAATAATTTATTGTATAGCATATTGTCTTTCAATATATGTTTTATCGTTATGTTAATTGAGATAGCTCAGTAGTAGACTATTGACCAAGGTTTCTTCCTAGTTATCTCTTATTACCAGACAATGTCTTTAACATAGAGAGAGCATCCAGTAGGACCTAAATTCACATGTTGTGTCATACATGTTGTGTCATAGGTTGGAGATAGATTTCTTCAACTGGTCACTGAGTGGTACCCAATGCTGTCGAATTATGAGTGTTGATCAATGATCAACATGTAAATTTATAGTGTAGTTACTAGGGGTCTTACATGCATGTCATCGTAAACGTCCATGTAATATAGTTGGAAGCAATCACAGTCTGTGCAATCAATTTTTTTTAATAATTTGGAACGGACTGCCTTGTTATAATCTGTTTGGATCTTCGATGATACACATTTTATCCTTCATACAGCTAAACTCAAGCTGTTGATATTTTCATGTATGTACAGTACCCATCATTCAATCTTTCTGCATAAATGATACATCTCCTACTCTTCAAGAATAGAAAGATCGGTACTAAAATTTATCCCTGATATTTTATCCAGAGTAGTTTTTTGGTGGAGTAAGTTAAAATATAAGTCGTAACAGAGCTAGTGCATGCTTAGGTCAATAGGAAAAAGAAATGTACATTATTTAGAAAGATGTGACACATAAATTACCTTAATTAAACATTTGTTACAAAGATTTTAGTAATGTGAAGCATACAATCAAACCAAAATGGATAATAAGGTTTTGAATTACAAAATTATTATCGTAATATTCATCAATCCTCAGGATACATTTTGAAGAAAATAGATATACGCCTAAAACGTATCATAACTACAACGTTTTGGAATGACAATTGTTACCTATAAAACAGCGATTAGGAATGATTTTTTTCTTGGCCCCCGAATGCCCTGGTACGGTTGAAGGTGGGAACAGTCCGCTCTGCCTCTCGAAATGCTCTCACGTGGCCACTCTTATAGAGCCACCACCCGCAAAATCCTACTCACTGCCTTCTTGTGGCAGCACTGTTGTTTACGAAAATGAGAGCAAGAAAGCGAATGTCCGGCGCTTTAATCGGGTTGGTGGATATAGAGGTTGGACCTAGGGAAGTTGGAAAACCCTGACTTCAAACCAGTGGTGCAAATGGGCTCCAGTATTCTGAAGGAACAAATGGCGTATGAATCAATCGTTGGACACCGCCTACCATGAGACTGCATGTCTTTACGTTGCTCCCTTGCTTTGTGGATCAGACCTTTGGGTCAAAGGCTCCGGGTATGGCCCCCTAAGAAAACCAAATGGTTCGGTTTGGGCTATTCTGTGCTTTTTTGTACCAATATGTGCGGCACTCACTTTTGCATGAATGACCTGCTGAAGTTGTTGTCTCAAATGACAATGGCGATCCTATAATTCAACAATCTAGTTTAGTGAGCGTAACATCATCAAATTGCTCTTTTCCCTAGAATCTTAACCGTAACCATAATCAAGAACAATTTATTTATTTATTATATATTTGAACACATAAATATTGTTACAAAGAGGCACCAAATAAATATGAGCCATACACATCACTTCGTTTGTTTATGGACTGTGATACTGCCTGGATTCCCAGACCGAAGTAGGTAAGAGTTAAATAAATTGGGTGTTATATCATCATATAGGCTTATATATGTTGTATGTTTTCGATTTACATTCAGATGACTGGATAAAAACTTGATAAATTTCTCTATGGTGACTTTAAAAATTGTTCAAACTTATCCTTCGACACTGTTCTCTTTGATGTAATGTATTTTAACTACATCACCTCTCTTCTTTTTCCGTTTTTTTACTTCTCTTTGTCTCATCAATATTAGTCTAGTGAAAATTATGAACAAATTAGTTTAGAGAGTAAAACACTAACAGAAAAACTACTCAATACACCATGGGAACAAATACAATCTACAAATTTAGCTGATACACGTGAAGGTTATGTATTTGTTGCTACAAAAAGTAAGTTAGTTGAGTTCATATATTTAATGTCATTTGTTGGTTTTGTTGTTTCTAACCCAAATGGTTTAATTGGTATAATTATATTCTCGGTTTAGGCAACACATCATCGTTAACATTGACTTAAGTGAGACTATAATTTATGAACGACCTTTGAGTGACTCTGAAGTGATCTAGAAAGTGTTCACCTAATAACCAGAACCAAATGAGGTTTATAAACCGGAGTGGAGAAATAGAATTGATTTACAGTTGACGGTTAGGGTTAAGAATTAGATTTAGGGTTTTCATCACGAACTAACATAAGTTGTAATGCCAAAACTCTATTTACCCAAATGGATGAATGGATTTCGCGTCAAAAATCCGAGACCTGTTATCTTATATGTGATTGGTTCGTATATAAATTATAGTCTCACCCTTCCTTACTTATAGAAATGGACTTTTGATTTATTGCACAAGTATCAAACCAGTTCACTTTGATCACATTGTTTGTTATTAGTTGTTTTCATAGGCAGAGTTGTGTACATCTATTGTTGTATTCAAGTTGACTATCTTTGTCCAGTTGAGTTCTAAATACACTGTTTGATTTCTTCTCCGTATGTATTGATAGGTTATATCTTTATACTAAAAATGATATAAATGTTCAATACTCATATAAACTTCTGTAAATTCTTATCATTTGTGGTATGATGAAGATTTAAAGTGCCCACTCAGGTGATACGTTTGTCATTAGCCTAGTTGACATTACTTTTTGTATGTGGTTTAATTACACTGAAGTTTGTAATAAAATTAAGAAAAAATTATCTTTCAATGATAATTTCTTTCACGTAAGTGGACTTTCATGTTAATACTCTAAAAAATTAATATGTACAGAAGTATTCATATTTTCTAAGGTTAAGAAATATATTTAAATAGATAGGTTTTAATAAGGCATCAGTAGGCCTCAACATACACAAGGGGAAAACCAAGGTCCTCAAATTCAAAACGGAGAACAGCAATCCAATCACTCTTGATGGCGAAACTCTGGAAGATGTAGAATTCTCCACATACCTGGGAAGCATCATCGATGAACAAGGAGGTTCAGATGCAGACGTAAAGGCGAGGATTGGTAAAGCAAAGGCCGCATTCCTACAATTGAAGAACATATGGAACTCAAAACAACTTTCAACCAATATGAAAGTCAGAATCTTCAATACGAATGTCAAGGCAGTTCTACTGTACAGAGCTGAAACTTGAAGAACTACAACAACCATCATCAAGAAGGTGCAAGTATTTATAAATGGTTGTCTCCGCAAGATACTCAACATTCATTGGCCGGATACCATCAGCAACAGCGTTTTGTGGGAGAGAACTAACCAGCTTCCAACTGAAGAGGAAATTAAGAAAAGACGATGGATGCGGATAGGACATACATTATGCAAATCATCAAACTGTATCACGAAGCAAGTCCTAACTTGGAATCCTGAAGGGAAGCGAAAAAGAGGAAGGCCAAAGAACACATTACGTCGGATAATAGAAGCAGATATGAAAAGGATGAATTAACTGGACGGAGCTTGAAAGGATTGCCCAGGACATGGTTGGATGGAGAATGCTGGTGAGCGGCCTATGCTCCTTCACGAGGAGTAACAGGCGTAAGTAAGTAAGTTTTAATAAGGCAACGTGTGTATATTCATCGACAAACCTCCTAAAGGACAACGTTTGTGTTGAGAACCGTCGATTATTGTTCAAAAACATCTTCGGAAGCTAAGAATATGCTGCACAAGCTTTGATCAATTAACTTTGGAGACGTTCAAGAGCGTTTTTATAAAAAAATGATGAATTGTCATGATTGCATTACTATCGAATTTGTTTACGATTTTAACATGTTTTTCGAAAGCTTCTAGAATTCCAAGGTTTCATATAAATACTTTTGCTTTTTTTCACATTAGTAGTTCTGAATTAAAAGATTTTTAGAGAGTAGAAAACAGTTTAGATGCATAGACGTTCATGAATTAGGTGGATCATTTTAAGTTGGGACTCTTCTCGAGATCTGTGGACTCTATTCGATCCTACGTTATTTGTTATTTACTTATTTGAACATATAAATATTGGTACAAGGAGTCACTGAATACATGTGTGCCATACAAGTCACTTGATTTGTGTGTGGAATGTGATACAGTTCGGGTGCCCAGACCGAAGCAGATGTTTTTCTTAGGGAGCCACACCCCTAGCCTTTGACCTAAAGTTCTGATGCGCAAGGCAGTGGAGCAACATCAGGAGATGCAGTCCCATGGTAGCCGATGACCAACGATTGGCTCGTACTCCATTTGTTCCTTCAGGATCCTGGAACCCATATGCACCATTGGTTTGGAATCAGGGTTTTCCAACTTCCCCAGATGGATCCTACATACTTGATTTTTAATGGCTCTCTGTATGGAAACTGATTTCATCATATCAGAAATGAATAAATGTTTGTAAATAACCGTTTTAATCATGAAACCTGAATTTCAAAGTGAAATACTTTCTGTTTTGAACATTCACATTTTATATTCTGTGAATTTCCATATTAAGCACCTTAATCGGTTTCCTTAAAAGAAAAAAATAAAAGAAGTTCACTTTAACATTGAGCTTATCTGTGATTAAAATCACTTTAATATATCAACCAAATCATTGTAGCACATTACACTATTCTAGAAATCATATACATCGTACCTCCAGAATCTTTTTTCATCTACGACACTAATTAATCCAGAAAAATAAGTTCTGTTGACACTTGGATTATTGATCTGTGATTGAAATATGCATATTACAAGATTAAATTAAATTCATTTATTACTTACACTACTATTTAAGTAGTTATTATGTTGAATCTTTCTGTATATAACAACATAAGTTCATTTTAGTTTCTTTCAGCCTTCTCAATTTATAACTATAATAATATGTCATTCAGTTTATCAATAACTAAGTATATTAAAATATAGTTTACCCTGTGCTAAGATAATTAGTGAAGATAATCTTAGTTAGTTAATGTGTTATGTTGAATCAGTATCTGCTTTGATAGACTATGCTAGATGTCCTGGAGAAAGTCTTGAGATGACTATAATAAGATATGGCATCAGTGTAGTAAACAAGAACACAAACGGGAACAATAAAATGTATTTGAACACAAAATTACACTATCTCTTAGTAAAATCTGAGAACCATACATTAAATACTTCATTTGCAAAATATCAATCAATCGTCTCTGAATTGACTGTTCTTTCTTTTCTACAGCAATCATTTTCTGTTCTCGTTCTCTTTTCTTTGATCTTCTTAACCTTTCACCACCAGGTATTTCACACACTACTTATATCTATCGACATCAGTAGTACACATCACATCAGTACAATAAATCATCCGCTGTTGGTTTGAGCTCAGGATAAAATATAAGCTCCTTAATTGAAAACTATGTATGGTTGTGCTTATCAATACAATCAAATGTTATCGCTAATTATGTATATCAGTTTATATCTAACTGTCTGTCATATTGGTTCACTAAAATCGGGGGTTTCGTTATTCTGTCTTCGTGTGATCTGGTAACATCGATAAAGACAGAATTACTCCGTAGTTAGCCACAATTTCTACATAAAACAATGTTTTCCAAATTTCCTGAGGCACCTAAATTTTTAATCGCTTTAGAAAATGTTTGTTTTGTACACTTATTTACTTCTCTATTAAATAAACTGGTTAATAGATTATTTTGTCTGTTTCATATCCAACTGATCATTCTCAGAACTGTTCTAAATCCATAAAATACAAAACAAACAAATAAATGATTCACAGGTCATTCTCAGCTAAACCACCATAGAAAACCTGGAAGAACTTAATGGCCGTTTCATCCTTACATGGGACTCCTCAGCAATGTGCATCCAAGATCCCGCATGAAGGACTCGAACTCAGTTTTGATTATTTATTCGGTCACTTCTTTCATGATTACTTTATTTTACTAAATCCTATTGCTATTGTCTTGTGTGTTTTTTCCCCTCACCCTCTATCTTGTATAGAAGCTGTTATGACAATTTGGACAAAAAATTTCTGTACATATAATCGTAATAGTAAAATATTAAAGCTTACACCCTATACTCAATATCAAGACAATGATAATGTAAGTCTATTCATTTGATTATTTCGTTTGATTCTAATAATTAGCGTTTATAAAAGAGGTTTGAACAAAAATTACTCTTTCTTAATGAACCGATCAGGATCAGGATCTGAATTTTAGCTTTCTGCGCAAAATTCAAAAAATATATCCATCTATCAATGTTCTATTGCTGCAAACACCTAAAACTAGTACAAAAGATTCTTTTGTGTTGTATGAATTCAAAAACATACTAGCTGCACACTTCCCCTAATGTGAAAGGGCGGCCTGCTTGAGCATCTGGGCTACCTGTTCCTGCCATCTAGATATTTCAACAAGTTATCTATTTTTGTTTGTTTTAATATATCATTATGTTTATTAATCGCACAACCTATTCTGCTGCGTTTCTGAAAAGTGTAAAACCTTTCGTTGTCAAAGTTACTAAAAGCTCAATAAGAGATAATGTGGTCGCTGGCAATATGCAGAGAAAAGAATATACATTATTCAGATGTTCATTTACTGAACTGCTAACATCTAACTGGCGATCACTCAATATTTATCGCGAGGACCGACGAAGAAGAAAGAAACGGAAGCTTGTTGAAATACTTCACGCTGAGAATTCTATATTGTACCAAAAATATAATATTGAATAAAGCTGATGATAATAATAAATAAAAAAAATTTACTTAACACATGAATGATGAAACCTGGGAAAGAAACTGCATTAAGAGTGGTCTTGACAACTTAGAAATGTGACTGTAGAGCTCCATGTATAATAATATAAGGCCAGTTACGCATAGAATTTTTCAATTACTTAATCTATTAGCTAAGTACTTCAAAAACTTTACAGATAGTAAAGGAAATTCGTGGGACAATGCGAGTTTTGTTATTTTTATGAGCTACTTCTTTTATCCGTGCTTATTGCAGGAACACAGCTTCAGTTAAGATGGTGGTTGTTTGGTGAAGATACCTTTCTGGCGCGCATCTCATTACAGTTAGCAGTGAAGCTTTATCTTGGGATTTTAAGTTACTGCCTGTGATCTAACTGTTTTCCAACAAACCTTTCTGTCTAGATAAACCCTTACGAACGATGGTTTCAGGCAATATATTTTGATCAGGTTGCCACGATATAGAACCAATACTACTACCTCATGTTAAAGGCTACAGCCAAAGAAAAAAAAACATAGAAAAGGATATCTGATTTTGTAATGGTGATTTTGACATACTGATGTTTGAGAAATTCATTTGCATACTTCTTACGATTGTATTTTTTTGTTGAAAAAACAAATCTCTTTCATTGAAGAATACCGAAATATTGAATGTCATCTCGTGTAGAAGACGATCAAATGATTCCATTGATAGACGTTGGTGTTTTGATATTGAAGTATCAAGAAGGTAAGGATATATTGTTACGGTTTTACAAAAGGTTTTTTGTAAAATAAAATGATGCATGATTTTCAGTAAGAACTGTATAAGCATCTAAAATTTGTGTGAAATCAACTACAATTGTCAATAAGTTTAGTACTTATGAATTATTCTTGTATCATGCTAGGTAATTTTCAAATATTCGTGGGTTTTCATTCAAGCACTTCATTATACATTGACCGTGTTTTGAAAACCTTTGCCTATAGCTCTTTTAGGGATACTGTCGGTCTCAAGCCAACACAAAGGAAGAGGGTTGGGCGTGTGGTTGACAACCTCATCTCGTAGAAAAAAAGGTTGCCAAAAAGACGCTAACCAGATTAAACAAACTAAACCATTTGAACTCTGCCCTGGGATTTGGAGAAAAAATTATGACGCCTCATGATAAAATCCGAGATTCTTCGGCAGTTACGAGGCCGATGACCCTTCTAGCAACCAGAAGAACAATTGTTATATGTACATGGATCGTCCGGACAATGTAAGGGAGCAGGAGAACCAGTCAGATAGCTAAGGAAATGATGAGATACAACTTGTCGGTTCTCGGAATTAGCAAAACCAATTTGACTCAAGCTGGATAGCTACGGATAGGTGCGGGAGAGATGCTGCTGTACTCCGGTCACGAAGAGGGGAATGCTCCGCACACTCAGGAAGTTGCTCTGATGCTATGAAAGGGGCTCGAAATGCACTTATAGGATGGGAATCCCATGGACCCAGGATAATCAAAGGATTCTTCAGAACGAAAGACGTATTTACAATGAATGTTATCTAATGCTTTGCATCCACTAACAATAGCAATGACGACGATAAATGTCAGTTTTGCGAGAGGCTGAAATCGATCATGATAAAGTGCCCAGGAAACGACCTGACTATCTTAACGGAAGATCTAAACCCTAAAGTCGGAATGGACAACAATGGATATGAAGATATCATGGGATTACTGACTGGGAGAAAGGAATGAGAATGGCAAGCTACATGGGTCTCATCGGATCACACCACGAAGAACCAGAACTTCACAAAGTCAATGTAAGACGTGAGAACCAGGAGAGGAGCTAGTATAGCTTCAGATCACCACTAGCTAGTGGTTGCCAAGATGAAACTGAAGCTTAAGAAGCACTGGATAAATGGACAAGCAGCATTAGAAAGGTTCAATATAGCATTCTTTCGAGATACTGATAAACCCAACGAATTCAACATAACTCTCAAAGCCTTACAAGATCTACACAAAGAAGAAAATACTGTGGGGGAAAACTGCAGAGGAATGAAAGAAACACTAACATCAACATGTCAAAAGGTTATGGTCTGCAAGAAGCATCATCATAAGGAATGGATGTCTATGGAAACCCTGGACAAGATTCAAGAAAGGAAGAAGAACAAGAAGACAGTAATTAACAACAGTCGAACAAGAATAGAGAACGTTGAGGCACAAGCTGAATACACATTAGCAAACAAGAGAGGGAAGAAGTGTATTAGAGCTGACAAGCAGAAATATGTGGAAGTCCTAGCAACGACAGCGGAAAAACCTGCAAGACAAGGAAATATCAATCAACTATATGACACAACGAAGAAACTGGTACGGAAATATAGAGAACCAGAGAGACCGGTCAAGGACAGAGTAGGCAAACCAATCACTGAGGTTCAAGAACAGAGGAACAGATGGATGGAATGCTTCGAAGAACTCTTGAATAGACCAGCTCCATTGGATTCACCGGACATCGAAGCATCACCTACAGAGCTTCCTATAGATGTCATTCCACCAATGATCGAAGAAATCAGGATGGTCGGACATCAGGTAAATCAAGGGTGAGAAGGCAATCGGACCTGACAGTATAGCAGCTAAAGCACTGAAATCAGACACAGAAGTAACAACAAACATGCTTCACACTCTATTCATGAATATCTGAAAGGATGAACAAGTGCCGATGGACTGGAAAGAAGGACACCTCATCAAGATACCAAAGAAAGGAGATCTGAGCGAATGTGAGAACTAACTACAGCGGCATCACGCTACTGTCAGCACCAGGAAAGGTTTCCAACAGAGCGTTGCTGAACCGGATGAAAGATTCAGTAGACGCCCAACTTCGAGGTCAACAGGCTGGATTTCGTAAGGATCGATTGTGTCCAGATAGAATCGCGAAACTACGGATTATCGTTGAACAATCAATTTACTGGAACTTACCACCATACATCAACTTCCTTGACTGTGAGGAAGCATTTGACAGCATGAATAAGAGAACCTTATGGAACCTTTTTCGTCACCCTGGAGTACCTGAAAATAATAATCGAAATCATCCGGAATTCATACGACGGACTACACTGCAAAGTGGTGCATGGATAACAGCTGATAGATGCATTAGATATTTTTACCGTCTTTAAACCTTTCAGTGTTTTGTTTTGATTGACTTACTTGTAAGTCACATTATGTATATTTGAGTCTTAAGAACCCTGTATGACGAAGGATGGAATGTAATTAAATACAGAAATTACTGCATCAGTCCAAAAACGTGTGTTTTTTGTTTTATATCGGTTCAGTTAATGTACACTTAACCAAATGGATGACAATTATTCACATTCTTTGAATCGTCAACGTTACGTTGTGAATATTAAAACAATGTTTTACCCTCGGGAAAAGTATTCGCTTTTTTCTTCTATTGTTTTGTAAATCACGATAAAAGTCTACCATACTGATGACCATAAGCAACTTATCAACCTGTTAGAAAATTGTTTAGTTATGTAATGTCTTACAATAAGAAGTAGTAAGTTTTAGAGTATAAACAGTCTTCACATGAACAATAATGATAGAAAAGAGGTCAAGGTCAAGTATTACAAGTTGAGTCAAAGTTATGAGTTAGGGTTAAGTGAGTTTCTGTTAGAAATTGAGATTATAAAGTTTAGAGTGGGAAAATGCTTTTCATCCACATAAATATCTTTGACTATACATTGCATCATATCAAGTACTCTAAGATATAATTCCCATTAGGAGGAGGTATTTCTTTAGTTTCTTAGTTTCTAATAAGGTACAGAATATTCCCCCCCCCCAATGCACCTTAAATTTCACTCTCAAACTCAGAAGGCGCTATCTTAAATCTGACTTGTTCATCACTATACTATACTTTTATCCGATCATACTTGTTGTTACTGATGTAACCATACATTCTGTATCTTGTCATCGTTTTTATTCTATTTAAACTAACAGATCTACTCCACTTACTTTACAAGCACAATGCTTGGATGATCTTCATGAATGGCTTCTTGTAATGGATGGAAAAGAGCCAGTAAGTTATTTAATTCTAATGAAAAGCGAATTTTCCGTGGAAATTGCATGTAATTACATTTTAATATTTTTTGCACTCGGTGCTTCCAGTAAATTGAACAGTAGATAGTTCCAGGTTGTATTACTTAGCGGTGCCGATCCCCGACCTGTAATTCTGGCTGATATAATGGGTTTGAAAATAGCTAACAGTTAGTAGAGGAACATATAAAATCATTCTGTGAGATCATCGAGTTGTTCACTGTTAGTCTTATCAAAAGGTGCAGACTTCATAGTTGACTCCTACACAATACTAGTGATCGATATTTAAAGACATAAGGTAATATGTTAGAAATTGGTTATGATGGTGCTTTCATTTTTTTATCGTCCCTTAAATTTCACGTTCCAGTATTACTACATTTTCACATTGTCCACTTATCGACTTAGAATACGCAGATGACATAGTTTTGTTTGGTGAAGACGCTGATAAAATGCAGAGTCTTTTGGTAGCACTAAGTAACAATGCCAGAATGTTTGGAATGCGCTTCTCTCCCTCTAAATGCAAGTTGTTGCTTCAGGACTAGTCTGTGTCAACACCTGAACTAAGGATAAGGAGTGAAGTAGTCGAACGCGTTGACAACTTCGCTTATTTTGGAAGTCTGATCAGCCCTAATGGGTTGGTGTCTGACGAAATCTCAGCACGGATTCGAAAAGCTCGTTTGGCTTTTGCCAACTTACGTCACCTTTGGCGGAGGCGAGATATCCGTCTATCAATAGAAGGACGAGTATACTGCTCGGCAGTCCGTTCTGTTCTACTTTACGGCAGCGAAACATGGCCATTAAGAGTAGAAGACACTCGTAAGCTATTAGTATTTGACCACAGATGCCTAAGAAATATTTCTGGCATCTGCTGGGATCACCGGGTAAGTAATAGTGAGGTTCGACACAGGGTATTAGGGAATGATGGTAAAACATATGATGAGGTTGTGAATCTTCATTGACTGAGATGGTTGGGCCACGTGTTACGTATGCTTAAACACCGATTACCACAACGTGCAATGCTATTCGGTGTTCGGGATGGTTGGAAGAAAGTTAGGGGCGGCCAAACCAAAACGTGGCATCAGTGCTTGAAGTCACTAACTTGTAGTCTGAGCCATGCTGATAGATGCAGACTACTTGGTTGGGGTCCGCGTGACTATTGTAACCAATGGTTGGAGACTCGTGGTGACATGGTTCAGAATCGATCACAATGGCGTCGGTGTATACACTCTCTGTCTTCCTTTAAACTAAGAGATTAAAATCGCTTTATATCTTTCTTTCTATGAACTAATTCTTTCTTCTTGTACTATATCCTTATTGCAAACTTTCTTTTATATATTACCACCTCTGAATTAACTACTTTTATGAATCCGGTGTCCATCTTGTTGTGTTAATGAGGTATGGGAACTTGGACCGATGCATATATGTGCCTGGTCCTACGTTGTAGCTGACTGACTGACTGACTGAAATTGTATTCTTTGTATTCAGTACTTCTTGTGATCACTGTTATCAAAGACTGACTGCTATTATTTCGACTATGCTGCTATTCACTTTGTTGATTTTATTTCACTGTTTTGATGTAAAGTGCATTTACAAACATGGATCAGACTAACAGTTGACGACTTCCTAGACTGACTCTGTGTTTTGGTTTGACCACTTCTAGCTTTTTTCCAGCTGGTTCCTACTTCAGCCAACAGTACATGTTGACGCAGGCCATGGTTGGGCATAGTTAACAGATGTCCTTACTACCTCGGTCGATAAACATTTATAATCCCATCAAATAATTTCCCATCTCTATCTATTGCCCTGCGCCTAACCACTGCAATGCTCATTAGGTCGTTACACAATACATGAGCAATACTTCGAAGGTACCTTTATGGTGAAACATGTATATTATCATTGATATTAGTAATCATTGATTTAATATTAAGGTTTCCACTCAAATTACCACTGCATATTTATCCATCTTACGAGTTTGTAGGAAATATAATTTCGCAACACGAAGTTAGCTGATATGTCTTCTCTGATGTTCTCTGAAGCATTCGAGTTTTTTTTCCTTAGTTGTACAATTGTATTTTGAAACTAGTTTCGTCAGTCATTTAATTTCTTTATGAATGATACTGTTTGTACTTCATTGAAAAATCATCTTTATGATGTCGTCAGTAAACCTTCTCGGTGTTCAAGTACTTTTTTATTTCTTTTGTTTTGTGCTAGATTTATGAAGATAGACGTGTTTGCCTCCATGAATCAGATAATAGTAAGTGTTTTTTCGAAGTGTACTTAGATTGGTTGTTGGTAATAACGATATTCAGCTAAATTTCTGATAGGACTGTATGTAACCGAGGTACATTCTCAAGACTAATTTGTAAGTAGTTTCCATCGTCAATATTAGTTGGTGTGCTAGTAATAAACCATGATGCCCTAGACAACTTTTACGTACCAAGCTGAGACTCATAAGCAGCGCGAATTCTTGACCAGTCCAGTTGTTGTACCTAAGATCTAGTATCACGACCAATGTGTTACCTTTAGACTATTGATTTGGAGCCCAATTTTCCGTATTCCTAACTTTAATTAACTGAGGATGCAATTCAACAATCATTCAATCCAATTGATAATGTCTATAAAATTCCCGACACTATTGAGCTTTACTCGTCACGATTTCATGAGGATTTATAAAGAGCTCAGAACATGAAGTTCAAATAAACTATTCCGATGTACATATATGTTTTATCACATTCCAAATGTTGAATGATGTTCTTTCCATTCTCACATAATTCCTTAATGTTTTATTACAGTATTTATTTATATATTTACAAAATTCACCTTTCATCTCTTCATTTCTTTTATTCGTTACTGAATTTTATCACTTTTTGGGATCAAGTCTCAATGATTAACCATTCTCGTTTTCAATCATATTGTCTATGGTTCGAACCACATGTCAAATACAACTATATGAATAAATTGAAATCATGAGTCAATTGAAGCTAGACCACCAGGGAAAACCTGGAAGCACTGGACGGCCGTTTCGTCTTAGTATGGGACTCCTCAGCAGTGCGCACCCACGATCCCGCACCCCGTGAGTGGAGTTCAACCAGGTCTGTTGTAAGGTATTAGCTCACTGAAGACAATGGTATACGGTGGCTCAACTTCGTGGATTGGTTGAAGTTAGACATTAACACCATTGGATACCGGCTGAGTGGTCTAGTTGGTTAAGCGCCTGGCGCGAGACGTATAGGTCCTGGGTTCGAAAACCGCAGGGCACGGGATCGTGGATGCGCACTGCTCAGGAGTCCCATACTAGGACGAAACGGCCGTCCAGTGCTTCCAGGTTTTCCATGATGTTCTAGCTTCAATTGACTCATGATTTCAACAAGTGAAATTTCTAAAAATCTCCACAAACCCCTTCTGATAACTATATGAATAATCGATTAGTATTAATTATTTAATAGTGGAGTCAATTACTGTACTATACTACCTATTCATACATTTATGTGTATAATCGTCAATAAGTTAACTGACTTAGTGAAATCCGTAGTTAACATTTGCATAAAGTTTTTAACCAATTAGTTCTGTTTATTCACTAGTTTTTTTTCGGGTATGTTCCATAATGTAGAAATGTCGTTGTAGTTTAACGTTTAAACATTCAATTTTACAGTAAAACAGATTTTTATCGTGTTTCGTTTAGCTACTATAGAAATGCATTATGTGTAGATATGTTAGTCGATTCATACTTTGTATTTAAATGATGTGTTATATTGGAATGAAAATCAGGTGCTTAATGGTGATTAGCTCTGAGAGGTAAGTCTCGGAGTTTTAATAGGATGTTGTGACTAGCGGAGCTCAGCCGTGTCGAGTGTGAGGCAGGTACCCACCAAAAGCAAAGGAAAATGATCGTGCAATATTGTGGATTAATTGAAGTTAAACATCAACGCTGTTGAATGCTTGCTCAGTGGTCTGAGTGTTAAGCGTTCACGCGAGACTGATGTTCCTAGGTTCGAGTCCCGCTTGCGGAGTCATGGACGCGCAATGCTGAGAAGTCCCATATTAAGGCGAAATGGCCGTCCAGTACTTCCAGGTTCTCAATGGTGGTCTAATATTAATGGGTTCATGATCTCAATTAAAAAAATTTATTTGTTCCCTTGTGTTTCAACTTAACTCATCGACTTATCCTTATTCAAATGAAATTTTATCGTGAATCAATCAAGGTTGGGATCTATCGTCTGGTAGTTGGAAATCAATTGTTTTAATAAGTGAATCACAATTTCACTATGAATGTGACTGATTCAGTCTGATCAGTGATATGTTCTTCAACTCTTATGTTTGCTAACTGGTTATCAGAAAACGAGACGACTACTCGACTTTTTCAAAGAACTTGTATTCAGATATTAATTGAAACTTATTTATGATTACGGCATGTGATTTGCCATCGTTGACTTGAAGAACTGAATCGGTCATTCTACCCTTAAAACTAGTCAAAAGTTATATTTGAGGTTTAGATTTGGAAAGGTTCTGTTTACATTTATTGACTTGGACCTGTGAGTCAGCTCAAATTGGTCAGTAGATCAAATATAGGTTACTAATGGAGACTAAACGGTTTTGTCTCTTATTAATGATTGGTGTATACCTGTAAAATATCAATCCCCAATGCCGCTGTAGTTTGTTGGCATTGGTCATTTGAAGCCTTGATTGGTGCAGATTAGGGAAGCCTAATATGAATATCTGTTTGAGCAATTACACCAAACATAAAATGCGTAGGTCAGTGATGTTCTGCCATTTGTCTATTTGTCGTTAACAAATTGTAGTCTATGTTTGATGTATCGCCTTGGGACGAGTAGGCGAATCGAAAGTTGAGCGGTGAAATTCAATCAGCAATAAAGATACAGGAGTGATTATTTTCAAGTGATCATTCATTGTGAATTTCTTAGTCTTGTAGAAGTCAAGTGGTGGCGCTAGTTATTGAATAGTAACACCTCAAATTCGTGATGATACAGATTTCCATAGGTTCCAATCCAGCATTAGACAGCATTTCCTTCAAGATTGCTGATGTGCTTGGCTTATGCTACATAACCAGCATACAACCTATCTCAGTAGTACGTCATTTTTGTATTGGTTGCTTGAAACTTCCCATTGATTTTTAGGAATATAATTGATTAGTCTCTTATTGGCATATGTGCATCTTGTGCGGATTGCCTCGATATTACTTTCAATTACATCAACTCTGCAGGTACATCCAACTGATGAGTCTTGTTTGGGACGAAACACGAGTCCTGAATTTCACTGTTAGCCACTATCATCCTAGATCAATGGTATTCTACTGATTATCTCTCACCATCAAGTGTTGTCTTAGACATATTGCTCAGTAACTCACTTTTTCATTTTGTGTAAGTTCTTTATTATTTTGGTTTTTTTTCGCCTTTCCTTTTCCAGTTCAATTAAACGACAAAAGTTATGAATTTCTACTCAATTTAATTCATGCGATTGAAAAAAATGGTAAGCAGTTATTTTTCTTCCATATTCGTTTAGATTTACTATTGTTTATTGAAAAGTGTGTGTTGAACAACTTCCGAATTAAGTTCACATATATTTATATTGTTTTAGTGAATACACTCACTAGTGACTGTCTTCAAGAGGTATTTCATGGAGTTCTAGTGAGAAGCAGTGACCAGTGGAGTTCAGACGAGTCTGTTGTGAGATAATAACTCACTGAAGACAATGGTGGACGGTGGCTCAATTCCATGGATTAGTTGAAATCAAACCAGATCAGTGGTCTAGAGGTCAAGCACTCGTGCGCGAGACGTATAGGTTTTGGGTTGGAATCTCGCGAGGCGGGATCGTGGATGCGCACTGCTGAAAAGTCTCATGCTAGGGTGAAACGGCCGTCCTATGCTTCCAGGTCTTCTACGGTGGTCTAGCTTCAATTGACTCATGATCTCAACCATTGAAATTTTTAATGAATAGTTTACTTGATTCTTATCGGTTGTTTGAAAAGACAGTATCTTGTTTTGTCTTAGTTATAATGACCTTACATTGACTATTCAATGTATGTTGTACACTGACATTATTATAATTGTGTAGGGCATGAAAATGTTGATTAGCATTCTGTTTATGCATCAGGTTACTCAATATCAGGAATACCTAGTTAATTAGTCGGTTATATGTGACATGTGGTCATGTGAACTTTATCTGAATTATAGATAGTTTGATATTGAAATAAATATCAAAAAATGTCAGTACTTGCGTGTAAGATAGTCAATATTGTTGAAGTGTGACCACGGTTACATTTTGAAGAATACCAGAAAATATACAATAGTCTCTAGGGTTTAATTTTAATCTCATTATTGATTTTGTATTGAAATAAACAGAGTATTTGTAATGTTTCTTTGTAGACTGATTCTTGCACTTATAATATTTGATAGTTTAAGGGATATCCAAATGGTGTAGAAGATTTGTAGCTCAGATGAATGATTTTGATGGAGTTTTGTTCTCTGAGCTGAATAGTTTGATCGTGTATTCATCAAAAAGGATATTCAAATATAATATGCCAAATCATTTAGAAATGCATCACCTATCCAAAGCATATGTGAATTGAATTACTAAAGTTTTTATTTGAGAATGTAGCTAAAAAGTAATAATCGATGACTCGACATATTTAATTGAGCCAATTTTAGTCACCTGTCCTTCAGTCACTGAATAATCGGAAGAAGTTGCATTACCTTTAGTTTCTTTTTCTATGAAATATACAAAGTGAAGTTGTAAATCGTTCATTTTACTAAAAGTTAAAAGTACAGCCGCCCACTAATAAGGAAGAAATATTTGTTCAGTTATTGTTGATTTTCAAAGGTTGCCTTACTACGATCAGTCTGTTTTGCATCAATGAAAGTTTAAAGTAATTGACTTACAAACCTGGAAACACTGCATGGCAGTTCCGTCCTAGTATCGGACTCCTCAGCAGTGTGCATCCACGATCCCGTACACAAGACTCGAACCTAGGACCGTCGTTCTCACGTGCGAACGCTTAACGTCTGGTAACTCTAAACCTCTGTCTTTCCTACATACTCAACAAACTGTATAAATCATTGTTGGGTGCATAAATCTATAGTAAATACACAATACTTCTAAACCGTCGTTGCAAATTTATGGTGATTTGTATGTAAATCACAAGATCCGATTCTAAACGTTTTCGAAAAACTATCTCTTAACTTATGCGTGATTTGTTTTCGTTAACTTTGTGGACAAATTTTATTGTATTCTCAGTTTATCTTTTTTTTTGTTTCAGGTATTCAAGTTGAAGGAATCTATAGAACATGTGGGGTGAAATCTAAAGTTGCCAGTCTGATTAAACAAGCTCTATGTAAGTTTTAAAATCTGTTGTCATAATCGACTTTTCAATCATTAGAGGCTGTAAGAAAATACCGTAAGTAGCTTCGCAGTCTTCATCGTATGATGTCTCAAATTGATTGTTCTTGAAATTGTGGAACATTTATTTTTCAACTCGGTGGTCTGAAAATGCCGCGTAGTACGAAATCAAAATGTCATGTATCCAACCCTTGCCACGGTTGGTGTTTCGGACTTTTTTAATCGACCTACACTACGACAAGAAACTTACTGTTCAATTGTTCCTAATCTTTGAATAGTTCTTCAAATTTTATCAAATCAAAATCAAAACCTTGTTTTAATTTATGTGATAGTGGAAAATAGACATGTGAAATATATTTTTACAGTTGAATTCACAAGTCGATCTAAGCTAGACTACCATTGAAAACCTGGAAACATTAGACGGTCGTTTCGTCCTCGTATGGCACATAGATATTGGTACAAGGTGGCACCAAATACATATGCGCCACACAAATCTCATTTGATATGTGTGAGGGCTGTGATACTGCTCGGGTGCTCAGACCGAAACAGGTGGTTTTCTTAGGGGGCCACACCCGGAGCCTTCGACCTGAAGGTCTCATCCACAAGGCAGTAGAGCAATGTGGGGAGATGCATTCCTATGGTAGCCGGTGACCAACGATCGGTTCATACGCCATTTGTTCCTTCAGATTACTGGAGCCCATGTACACCATTGGTTGGGAATCAGGGTTTTCCAACTCCCCTAGGTGGACTCTCCATGTCCACCAACCCGGTTAAATCGCTGGATATTCGCTGGTCGTCCCCTTGATTTCACAAACAACACCCCGGCCACGAGAAGGCAATGAGTAGGACTTCCCTGGCAAAGGCTACATACGCGTGGCCATGTGAGAGCATTTCGACAGAGAGGGAGGGCGGACTCTCCCCACTCTCGGCCGTACCAGGGTATTTGGGGGCGAGCAGCGTGTATTCGCGATCCCGCATGTAAAACTCGAAGTAAATTGTAGTTAAAAATTCACGAATTATATAACAATAATTATAATGTTTAGGATTATGCTAAGCTTGTAATTTAAAGGTTGATGAAAAGTGAATACATCTACGTCACTGACTCCAAGTTTGCGTTCCATTATGAGACATCTACTGCAGATTACGATTATCTTGGACGGAATTTAACTACAATTGTAATGAAAAAGTGAATGCAGTTTTTGATATTGTGAAGTGGATGTAATAGTTTAATACTGTTTGAGCATAGCATGCTGTATCTTCAAAAGAGACAATTTTACTGGTCATGTAATCGAGTCGTTTATTATGAAAACAGTTGTCGTATCTAATTCGCTAATTGATTTATTAACTTTTATTGTCTGTATCGCCGATGTCTTTCTGTTTTACCAATAATACTGGTCAGTGAATAATAACCCAAGACCTTAGCGTTTATTAATCTTCGAGCTCTTCCTCCCAACCTCATTACACAATCAGAAAACTAAGTTATACATGGCTGAGAATTTATACAATAATATACCTCAAATACTTGATTTCTCAGCAACACAAATAGGAAATTACAATACATAAACAATTCAGTCATAAGTAACTCAAAAATGTCGCAACAGTGAAAAATTAATTACTGATAAATCTGAAATAATACGTTAGATAACATCGGTTTATGAATCAAATGCAATGGTAATTACTTTGTGCTCACTAGGAAATAGCTTCATGAGGGAATTCTCGGAGTTCTAGTGAGAAACCGTGACCAGTGGAGCTAATCTATGTCAGGTAGAGATAGGTATCTACGTCACTGCAATGGAAGATGTTCTTACAATTTCTTGGATTTGTTGAAGTTAGACATTAACATCATTGGATGCCTTCTCAGTGGCCCAGATGTTCAGTGTTCGCGCGCGATACCGAAGTTCCTGGGTCCGAATCTCGCGAGCAGAATCGTGGATGGGCACTGCAGAGTGGTCCCACAATAGGACGAAACGGCCACTCAGTGCTTCCAGGTTTTCAGTGGTGGTCTAACATCAATCGATTCATGATCTCAATCAAAAATTTAATAATCTCTGCACAACTCTATGCCGTAAGCTTTTAAATAGGTGCATATAAAAATCCAGTAATTCAGGCGTTAAATAATTTTTCGATAAAAATACGACTAATAATTTCCTTTAGGATAGTTAATATAAGTTCAACCTCACTCTTATCCTATTCCACATGAAAAATGTATGTTCAGATACTAACTTACTTACTTACGCCTGTTACCCCAAATGGAGCATAGACCGGCAACCAGCACTTCCCAACCCACTCTGTCCTAGGCCTTCCTTTCTATTTCTATCCAATTGTTGTTCATTCTTCTCATGTCTGTCTTCATTTCTCGGCGTATTGTGTCCTTTGTTCTTCCGCCTCTCCTTTGTCCTTGAGGATTCCAAGTGGGGGCTTGCCTTGTGATGCAGTTGGCTGCTTTCCTTAATATCTGTCCTATCCACTTCCAGCGCTTCGCCTGGAGCCCCTCTGAACCTACTGCCGGTTCCAAGCCCAGATAAAGAAGGAGAGTTGGGCATGGGGTTAGCGACCTCATCCCGTTGAAAACTAACTCGCTAAAAAAATACTAGTCAGCAAAAATAATTCGAACCATTTAAACTTTGCCCTGTGAGTTGGAACGTTTTCATTGAGAAGAGTTATGATGCCTTGTAGTGAAAGCCGAGTTCCTTTGGAAGTCACGAGGCTGACGCCTCTTCTAACAACCAGAGCAACCATTAATTTAGGTACATGGAATGCTTGTACAATGTGGGAGACCGGAAGAGTCTTCCAAATCGCTGCAGACTTAAAATACTAACTACCATACTTTTTCTAATCTCTTCTAATCTTGACTAATTGTGTTATTTGTTTGAATTCATTGGTAACTCAGTCTCTCTGTGTGTGTACGTCTTCTGTCCGTTATTATAAGGAAGCATACGTGATTCATAATCATGAGAATTTCTTTAGTCACATGGTACACAACAAATTCTTCACATATTATAATTACTCGTCATAGAAACTATTCAATTCTATCAGCCTAAAATGTCGGCTTAAGTTTTTCATGAACCATATGTGGGCTATAAAATGATTAGTCTAATATTTATAAACTGATTAATCGAAGAATGTCGATTGATTAAGTTAACTTTAAATCTATCAATCAGATTAGTCAAATCCCATTAGCCACCTTAAACATTGATATGCAAACTTGTACTAATTTGGTTACATTACAAATGTACTTGATCGATGTCAATCAGTATTTAATACTAAAAAAAGAAGCCAGTCACTAGTGAGCATAAATATTACATAATTTTGATGGAGTTTTGTTCTCTGAGCTCGATGGTTTGATCGTGCGGCTTTCATCGTTCTTCTGAACAACATCATCAGCACAAACTTCAGGCAGAATTGAAGTGTTCGAATTTCTCCATATGTGTTTCACAGCTTGTTCTGTACACCTCGACGTTGATTGGTTCTTATTGACCTTAAATTTGTACTTGATTACTACTCTATCCAGATACCGATTATAATGTAAACATTTGAGTCCTACTGAAAAGATTATTTGATATCTCTTTGATTACAACACACTTGGTGACGTCATAGTATAATCTCTGTGACTATATCACTCTGTTGAGTTTTGTAGATTATTTCCAACTAATACATAGTCTCATCTCAGAGCTTCTTTACATATTGTTTCATGTTGATAGAGATAGCTAATGCATATACAAGGCAGATGAAAAGGGGATTATTCAATCGTCTAATAGTTTACTATTTACCTTACTGATATATAAAGGATTGGTATATAGTAAGTTCATTACTTCTTCAGTTATACTACATATAGTCAATAAATTAATATATTTATAATATCCCAATGAGTAGAAAAATTAAGTTTTATAACGTTTCGCGACTTAGTGTAAGCCACTTCTTCAGAGTAAATAAATAACCAAATCAAAATGAATCCAAGTTCAAATAGTACAACGGAACAACACAAGAATATTATTATATGCGATCAATCAACAACAAAGAACAGGTCTGAACAAATCAATGTTATGTCATTTCGGTCAAGGTGATCCATAAGTGACATGTATGTAAATTTTTGTGTGGGTGTGACAAAACTATAATAATCACAAAAGCTGACAAAGGCAACACAACAGTAGTCATGAATAGAATAGATTATATTAATAAAGCTCTTGAACATCTCTCTCTACAGGACCATATGAAAAGATCTATCTGAAAAAAGTCTTTAACGATTAAAAATCAACTTAGGGACAAGTCAACTTTTGAAAGAACTAAAACGAGTCATTGGTGTCTCGTTATGGTTTCCTCTATATCCAATTTCACGTTTTTATGGTTTACTTAGAATTCATAAACCAGATATCCCTTTTAAGACCTATAGTAGACTTCACGAACACACCAACATATGCACTATTGAAGTATCTGAGCGGCATATCAAAGCCACTATAACTTAACGTACATAATATAATTAAAGATTCCTGTGACTTGAAATCAAAAATATCGGAATTAATTATCGAAAAGAATGAAGTCGTGGCAAGTTATGCTGTTGTATCATTATACACTAGTATTCCTATTGATAAATGCTTAGAATTCATTGGTGGTTTACTAGAGAACGATAATACTCTTCCTGACAGATATCCTTTAAGCATTAGTCTAATCATGAAATCCTTAAAACTCTGCTTAAATTTGGCACTATTTACTTTTAACGAAACTTTATACAAACAAACTAACGGTGTAGCAATGGGATCCCCCATATCCCCGATTGTAGTTAACCTGTTTATGAAACACATAGAATCGAATATTTTCGCCAATGACACTAAATCACGGATTTGGCTTAGATATGTAGATGATACCTTTGTTGTCATAAAAATGCCTCATCTAAGATCTTTTTCGAAACAGATCAATACACGTTCATCGCACATCAAATTTACGAACGAGAATGAAAATAAACATGGTGAACTATCATTTTTAGATTGCTTAGTGAAAAGAAATCTAAATGGAATTATAAATTGATCCATTTACCGAAAACCTACACACTCTAATCGTTATATTGACTTTAATTTAGCACATCCATTCAATGCAAAGATCTCGCTAGCCCTAAATCTTTTTAAAAGAGCAAACGAGATTATCACATCGGAAGTGAATAAACAAAAAGAACAAACGATTGTAATTAGCATTTAATACAATTTAATAATTTTCCTATGAAAAGGTTTTTCCAATTACAAAGAACAGAGTGTAGCTGAAGTGTCCTATGTAATGCTTAATCCTCCTGCTTTCAATAGAAAAGAAGGCCTTATCATACATCCTACTTGGACTATCTATCCTAGCCACCTAGTCTGATATTATTCACAATTCACACTATCATCTTACAAATTAAACTCTATCCTTTCTCACCATAAAGGTCACACATTTTTCATCCTTAACAGTGCACACATACACGCACACAAATTTACATTCATATCACTTATGAATCACCTCGACACTGATTCGTTCGAACCTGTTTTTTGATTGATCACATAATGTTCTTGTGTTGTTCCGTTGTACTATTTAAACTTGGATTAATTTTAATTTGGCGATTTATTCTCTGAAGAAGTGCCTTACACTAAGTCACAAAACATCATAAAATTTAATTTTTCTACTCATTGGGATATTACAAGTATACTAATTTATTTATAACAATCCACCCAATGCTTAATTTATTCGGAATTATCAAGTCAAACCTTGTTAATGATAGCTAGATACAGTCAAATTTAATTTTATGAATAATCATTTGATATTCAAATGTATCTAGACGCCGACCGTTGTTTCTACTTTGATGTGGTAGTCGGGCTTGCCTATTGTGACCAACCAATCGAATTATGCTAACTGGAACAATCACTCTTCAAGTTTCTACTATGCCAGACAAGTCGGTTGAAAAATGGTAAGACTAAAAGCAGCAAAACCAAGGTCCGAGGGCGAAGTCGTACTGCTGACTGTACAGAGGTGTGACGGTAGTAAGATTTTTCCCTCAAACGACCAACATAACAGCGATGTTGTCTTCTCACAAAAGAAGGGTGATTTAGAAAAAGTCTATCTCGAAAAAGCACACCTCACCTTATCCCACGGATATCTGTCTCTGGCGGTAAGGTCTCAACAAATACGGAGCTAACACGGAAATTACTCACAAGAAGGTCGTGTGTGACCGACCTCAAGCAGTTGTCCCTTGGGCACTGTGGTCACGCTTTCAGGTCACCAAGACCACCCCTATCCCGATTTCCTTTTCAGGTACCTCCAGAAGAACCCTTCCACGGTGTGGGCAACCGTGAAGTGATAATCGCCCTCATTCCTCCAACAGCACTCTAGACTGTATCTAGACCACGGATTCATGTATACATTTTATTATTGTTTATTTTTTATGTATAATTCTCAAGCTCCATCAGGAATATCCAAGACGACTTTGTCAAATTATGAATTATGCGTTTTAACTGGCGCATTAAAAAGTTTTATTCGACAATTAGAAACTCCAATTATGACATTTCAATTACATGATTCTTTCATGTCTGCAATGAGTAAGTTGTTAATATATATTTGTATATATATAAGTCGTTTGAAAACGATCTCTGTTTTAGTGACGGGCAAACTGCTTATTTTTTTGTGATGCCGTGATCTGACTCCGATTTGGACGAACGTATGAATATATTATGAACATAAATCTTCCATTTAACTTCGTATACTGCCTAGGCTAAACGCGTTTGTGTGACGGCGGCACCAAGAAGCTAGACATTCAGAATAAGGGGTAGAAAAGCGAAGCTGAGCCGAGAGGACGAGTAAGCCCATTCTAGTTGATTAGGTATGACTTGGTATTTATAATTAGACAGGTGTATGATGAGTAGGATGTGCAATGCACATGCATACGCTTATATAAAAACAGTCAAGGTTAATAAACCAATTATTAACAAGGTCAAAATGTGACTTGTAAATCGGTTGGTACGAGAGCTAGAATAACCCTTGTGGGCTTGACATTACAATGTATTTCATAGAAAAAAAAGTCATAACTAAACATTCTGGTGGAGTTTTGTTCTCTGAGCTGGATGGTTTGGTCGTGGAGCTTTCATCGTTCTCCTGAACGACATCATCAGCACAAACTTCAGATAGAATTGAAGTGTTCGAATTTCTCCATATGCGTTTCACAGCTTGTCCTGTAGACCTCGATCTTGATTGATTAGTGCTGACCTTTAACCTATCATTGTATACTTCCTTTTTTTTATTGTATCTCCCATTATTGATTTGTCTCTTGGTCTTATAGTTGACCATAATTTTCTGATTGGTCGATCATTGGAAGATACAATCAAAATAAAGTAAACAATGACAGGTTAAAAGTCAACAGTAATCAGTCAAGATCGAGGTCTACAGGAAAAGCTGGGAGTCATATGTGAAAAAATTCGAACACTTCAATTCTGCCTGAAGTTTGTGCTGATGATGTCGTTTAGAATAACGATGAAAGCTTCATGACCAAATCATCCACCTGAGCTACAAATCTTCTCCATCACAGTAAACATTCAACAACTATATTCTTGTTCTATTATAGTATTTTAATAGTGGATCTCGTTTGAATTGTTGTAGTGTGATAGGTTTTAGTGGAATTTCGATAATGCTATGACAAGACGAAGTTTATCAGAATTATGTGGTATATTTGAGCAATACATTTTAAACGATCTGATCACACATTAAAAGGTTAACTAAACAGGTTAAAGGTAAGTCGTAACAAAGAAAACGAATAATAAGGTACACAAAAACAAAGTGATAACCACTCTGGATAATAAATCAGTATTACCAGGGTAGGTTAAGGATAAGGATAAATTATTTTTGAACGCATGAAGGGGATTTCAATTTCCGTATCTCCAAGGCTTCAATAAACCTTAGTATAAGTCCTTAAAGGTTTTTGTATAACACTATAATTGCTGACTTGATGTCAACCTAGTGACCAGTCTCAATCAAACGTTTCGCAATTAAGGATGATGTCAGTCTATCCTGTGATGTTATTTGACCATTGGAATTCATTTGCTTCTGCAGCCATTTTGATATGTGTTCACTCACCCTTAATTGCAAATTACGATTGCTCCATCCTATGTACATGTTTCCATACATACATGTAAATTGATAGACACAATGAGATGTAACACAATCGCTTACGTGTTGTTTGGGCTTTTGGTGAAACATAGACCTTGTCTTCCTAATAGTGAAATTGGAAAAATCTGTACACATCACAATCAAGACTGTGTTCACCTGTAGTGTTACATATTGTTAACGGGAATATTTTTTTAACCTGATTTAACTAAAATTTTAATTCAAATGATGGTGTTATTTAGTTTGTTTTATTGTCATTGAATTGATTTGACTTTAAAAAAAGCTCAACTACTCATCCATCTATACCATTTCTCACTTTGGTCTCTAACATTTTAGTTACTTGTTCTATGTACACATTCACAAATCGATCTCTATTAAAAAGAATATCTAGTAAAATATATCTTCATTACCATTAATTTATCTGTAAAAGTTAAACAGGATATAGATATTACAATGATTGAGATCATGAGTCACTTAAAGCTTGACCATCATGGAAAACCTGGAGGCACTAGACGGCGCGCGAGGCTGATAGGTCCTATGTTCGAATCTCGCGAGGGGCAGGATCGTGGATGCGCACTGCTGAGGAGGAGTCCAACAATAGGACGAAACGGCTGTCCAGTGCTTCCAAGTTTTTCATGATGGTCTAGCTTCAGTGAACTCATGATCTCAACCATTGAAATTACTACAATATCCACAAACCCTCTTCTGATCAGATATAGATATGTTTTACTATGAATTTAACATTTCTCAAAATAATGATAGTAATAATTAGATGTTAGAAAGAAGATGATTGAACAAATGTTCAATACATAAATGTAATTGATTTCAGCTATGGATTTGTTCTGCTCTAATTTGTGGAACTTGAATACACAAACGTATATTTGTTTACTGAGTTAAGAGTATATGGTTTAAAAAGTTGTTCATATATGTATGTATACTACTTATGATTAAGTTTGTCCCAGTAACCTGTAGGAAAGTTATACGCTTACACCTCGACAATCATATTCCTGTTAATGTATATAATAGTTAATAACAAGTTCGCAATATATATTCAATGGCGTTTTGGACTAATATTAGTTAAAACGTCCAACTTTCAACCTATAAGTTACAGTTTTGAACCCTTTCTCTATTTTCCTGACTTGATTCTATCATATCACTAACATTTACATCATTGAAGTCTAACTGAAATTTAAAGTGTATACGATTTACATTGAATATTCATTGCCTATTCAATTAATTAATGAATTTGTGTATTGTGTTTATTTATTGGGTTGTTCTACTTGTTGTTACTGATTGTTTTCTCAATTTTAGAACGAGATAATGCTTATCGATTAACAGAGCTTAGTGCATTATTAAAATTGTTACCACCAGAAAATCAACGTACTTTAGACTTACTGATTAGGCATTTATCAAGGTTTGTTAATTGTTATATCTCCTTTGTTGTTTTTCTTTAATAGGTATTATTACTATAGTTTAAATTCACTTAGTAGTGTTTTACTTGAATCTTTCCATGGATGTTTAAGACTGCAATTGATCAGTTTCTTATTGGCATATGTGCATACTGTGCGTATTACTTCGATAGTGCCTTAATTCACAAGCTTCATAAGTGAAGATGGATATTGGCTAGCAGTGGAATCCAGGACGCGCGTTTCGTCCTATTTAGAACTCATCATCTAGATGTATCTGCATCTCAGAGTTGATATTTACTCTGGGACTCGAACCCAGTACTGTCCACTTCAAACGTCATCACATTATCACTGCTAACCACTATCCAACTTTGCTTATAATGGTCAAAGTAAATCTGTGTGATACATTACTGTTTGGGTATAAAAAGTAAAAATAATTTGTCGTCAGTCATCTACAATGCAGGATCGGACACATGTGCATCGGTCGAAGTTACCATACCTCATTAGCACAACAAGATGAACACTAAATTCATAGAAGTAGTTACTTCAATGGTGGTGATATATAAAAGGAAGATTGTGTATGAGGATATGATATAAGGAGAAAGAGTTAATTCATAAAAATAAAGGTAAACATTAATTTCAATATCACGGTTTAAGGGAAGATAGAGAGTATGTACACCTACGCCATTGTGATCGATTCTGACCCATTTCATCCAGTCTCCAAACATTGGTTACTATAGTCGCACGAACCCCAACCAATTAGTCTGCATCTACCAATATGGCTAAGAATAGAACTCAGTAACTTCAAGCACTGATGCCACATTTTGGCCAGTTTGGCCACTCCTAGCTTTCTTCCATCCATCCCGAACACTGGTCAGCATTATGCGTCGTAGTAATCGATGTTTAAGCATACGTAACACGGCCCAACCATCTCAGTCGATGAAAATTTGCAACCTCATCAACTGATTTGCTGTCACTCTCTAATATCCTGCGTCTAACCTTACTATTACTTACCCGATGGTCCCAACAGATGCTGGGATTTGTGTGCAGACTGTTTGAGAAATGAACAGAGTTAACTGTGGCTGTTTGGATAAACAATCCATGTTGGATGAATAGTCAGGTCTTGTTTTCCTTTGAAGAAGAGAGATGTTTCAGCTATTCGTCTTTTTTTATAGTTGACTAAACCTTTTTGAATCATTTTAATACTTTATATCGATTCGGTGGTTATCGAACATACCTTTTATCGCTATTGCGGATTTGATTTGTAGATTCTCCAATTCTGCAGGAATATTTCGTGGTTGCTTAAGTGTTCCTTGGCATTAGTCGTCGAAAAAACTCTATTACATAATGTATTGAAATCAATACAACCTAGTCTGTAAACTGAATGCCGATTAGATGTAAATGGAATTTTTCCCTTGATTTCAAACTTGCACATTTCGAAGTGTTAGTTGTTTAGTAGTAAGGTTTAATTCTCAAAATACTTTGAAATTCTCCTGTCCTACCTTGGCTGTGAGACACAACTACTGTGCTATTTAAAGATAAATCGTAAGCTGCATACTATATTTTTTTCTCTTTGCTTATCTGTTCCTGACGTCGCTTTTCTGAACAGATTCAGAGCTAGGAAACTTTTCTCTTAGGATAGATGTGCAGAATATAAATCGATATATCTGTTTGAATGTGTTGGTCTTCTGTATATGGTTAAGTTTAGGTTTTCATCAGGATTCCGTCTAACTAAATGATTCAAGTACGGTACTTCACTATGTTCATACTCCTTTTCCAAAGTGAATTTGATATCTGGATAAGTTTTTTTAATGGTAATAAATGTATCATTCACTTATCTGAGTCAATAGGTGGTTTAATGGTACTGGAGAAAATAAGTAACTCATTAGGGGGCAAAAATAAACTAACAACAGTCGAAGATACTCTGTTGAAGTGGTTTCCATCAAGTCACGAAATGTCAATAATTCAAATTTCAACACACTGAGATGTTACAAATATATCATTATTCTATTATCAAACTGTTCCTTCGTTTCATTTATGAACTCACTGCCTTTTCGTTACGGGGGTGTTGTTTACGAAAATGAGAGGACGAAAAGCGAGTGTCCAGCGCTTTAACCGAATCCCAAACCAAATCAATGGTGCACATGGGCTCCAGTATCCTGCGGGACCAAATGGCTTATGAACCAATCGTTGGTCACCGGCTTCCATGGGACTGGATCTCCTTACGATGCTCCACTGCCTTGTGGATCAGACCTTCAGGTCGAACGCTCGGGGAGTGGGTACCTAAGAAAACCACTTGCTTCGATTTGGGCACCCGGACAGTATCACAGCCCTCACACATATCGAGTGAGATTTGTGTTGCGCATATGTACTTGGTGCCTCCTCCATTTATGAATTCGTCTAAAATAATCTTTTCTGAATTTTTCCTGATGATGAGCTATTCACTAAAATATGTGTAATATATAACTATCGCATTGACCACTGAGTAAGCAATGCATAGGTTAGATATAGGGTATTGGTGAAAATTGACAATTCGGTTGGTGAAGTTGTAAATCTTTATCGATTAGTTTTGTTAGGAAATGTGTTGCATATACCTAACCACCTCCTACCTCGATGAGCGATTCTTACTGATATTGAGTTAGATTGGAACGGAGCTAGATCCGGTTAAACCCAAGGTATGGCATTAGTGCACGAAGTCATTGATCATTGTCATGAGTCATGTTAATAAATGCATGCTACCTGGTTGGGGTCTGCACGATTATCTCACAAAATAATCGGAGACTTTATGTAACATGGTTTAGAATCGTTCACAATGGTGCAGGTGAATTTAGTCTGTCATAGATCTTAATTTTTTTTACCTAATCCTGAGATTCAGTGAGACACAAGTTACTAGGAGTAACAAAATTTATGTTCTTCTTATTCTTGTGATTCTAGTGTTTATCTATTCTTGTCGTTATACTAATCCTTTCTTATATGGCACATTAACATAGAGTTCATCCCTACCAGTCAGTCATTTGATCCGGCTTGTTCAAAGCCTTAAGTGAAATATTAGTAGGTACCACACAAAAGTTACACGGGAACTCATAACCTATTCAAATTTATGAGAACGTGCAAACCATGGCAAATCTTCACTGTATATATGCAGTTTCATTCTCTGAAATATATTCATATAAATCTAATACCTAGTTTTCTTCTGTTTTCTGTTGTAAACACTTACAAATACACACAACTATTCTAATATATAGCGTTGCTGCCTACAGTCAATTGAATCACATGAGCCCAAGTAATCTAGGCATTGTATTCGCACCATCATTGTTTCGTTCACGTGAAGAATCTGTCGCTGCGATTATGTCCACAAAATTTGCTTCAACTGCTGTCGAATTAATGATTATTAATTATTCAAGTTTATTTCCAATACATTCATCGAATATTCTTCGACCAATACCTCAGTTATCCTTACCATTATCTACTACCCCACTTGTTATGGATGATAGAAATGGAACTATAAGCGAAATTAACAATACCACTCATAATTCTATCAGTGATATATTTGATAGTAATAATACTCCTACTAATATGGGAAAATATAACCATATTAAGAATGGTGAAAACTCTGTAGAACCAGTGTATACTACACCGGTTATTGGCTATCCTTTTCAATTAACCAGTGAGTTTAATATTAGAACAAATGGATATTTCTTTTTTTTACATCATTATTCAGTTTATCACTTTGTAACTGAGTTTGCTTGACTGTTTAATATTACATTTTCGTTATTCTAAAATTCCCCTTTGTATGTATATGAACTTGGATTAAGCTTGAAACTAAGTCACCAGAACTAACCTCTGTACGATTGTTATCAAAGAACAAAGGCATAATGAAAGTATAACTGTGTAAACTAAAGTTACATTTTAGTTGATCATTGAAATATTGTTTATCGATCGAAAAACTTACTGGATAATATTCAGATATAAAACTTTCATAATAAATGGGATGGTGGAGAAGATTTGTAGTTCAGGTGGATGATTTTGATGGAGCTTTTTTTCTCTGAGCTGGATGGTTTGATCGTGGAGCGATGGGATGATGATTGTGGAACGATGAAAATTCTACGACCAAATCATCCAACTCAGAGAAGAAAACCTTTATCAAAATAATAAATGGGCTAATGTAAACAAAGTACGTGATTGTGTATACAATCAATCATAAATTTAGTACTCGTTTCAGGTTGTCAGTAAAATAATCTTTCAGTTGAATAACCTTAAAAATGAGACTTCTTGCAACTTTTTTTTAAAAATCATGAATGATTATGGTTATTTTTGTTTGGAAGGCATTAGTTGTCATGTATATACTCTGGTATTGCATACAGAATACATATGGCATTCTTTATAAATCTTCTATTCATTGAGTTGTTATTAATGAGAGAAATGGTGATGTATACTATACATGTATACAGGCTTATGCTTCAAAATATTGTGTTTTGCAATAGTAATGTTGTAACTGCCCCCAAATGCCCTGGTATGGCCAAGAGTGGGGTGGGCCCTCCCTCCCTCTCGAAATGCTCTCACACAGCCACGTGTATACAGCCTCTGCCAGGGAAGTCCTACTCACTGCCTTCTCGTTACGGGGGTGCTGTTTACGAAATTGAGAGGACGAAAAGCGAATGTCCAGAGATTTAACCGGGTTAGTGGGCACATATAGTTCACTTAGGGGAGTTGGAAAGACCTGATCCCACATAGGCTCCAGTATCCTGCGGGAACAAATGGCGTATGAACCAATCGTTGGTCACCGGCTACCATGGGACTGCATCTCCTCACGATTCTCCACTGCCTTGTGGGTCAGACCTTCAGGTCGAAGGCTCTGGGAGTGGCCCCCTAATTAAACCACTTGCTTTGTTTTAAGCACCCGGGGCAGTATCACAGCCCTCACACAAATCGAATGATTTATGTGGCGCATATCTATTTGGTGCCTACTTTTATCAATATCTATGTGTTAAAATAAATAATAAATTTGCTAAAAAGTTTATTTTGGCTTTTACATCTCATTTTTGTATTCAATATTAAGAGTGTATGTAAGCGGGTGGTGGTGTTTAGTTGTCTATGTTTGAGGCTATACTGAATCTAAAGATCAGTCAGTTGCAAGGTAGAACCTGGTATGCATGTGCATTATTTTGACTCTGTTGCTATTCACCCTGTCGATTTTATCTCACCGTGCTGATGTTAAATACATCTACCAACATCATTCAGTCAGTCACAACGTAGAACTTGTATATTTGTACACTGGTTTAAGTTGCCATACCTCAATAGCACAGAGAGATGAAGTTGTTAGGCTAAAACCCAGAATAATAGAGGTAGTGATAGAATAATTAGATTAGACATCAAATATACGATTTAAGAAAGTATAAATTACTGAAATATACCACGAAAATCGGTTATAAGGAGTTCAGAAGCTCAAAATTCAGGGAAGACAAAGAATGGATGCATCTGAGTCATTGCAAACGATTTTCAACCATGTCACCTAAAGTTTCTAATCACTGATTACGATAACAATGTGGACACCAACTATGTAGTCTATACCTATTAACATGGCTAAGTCCAATTCTCAATAACTTCATGGACTATTGCCATGTTTTGGTCTAACCGTTTCTAGCTTTGTTCCAATTTCCTCCAACATTAGAAGTGAAGCGGTCTATGTGTTCAACTACTTAATCTCCTATCGTTAATTCAGACCATGATGAAAATCAATCCTGAAGTGATATTTTACATTTAGAAGGAGAAAACTGCATCCCAAATATGTTTTCAGTGTTGTTTAAGGTGATCAGATTTTTTACTAAACACAACTATATCGTTCGCGTATTCTGAGTCGCCAAGTTATAGTAGTATCGATCATGAGACCCAGTAAATCTATTGCATCATCGGCAAATATGCAGTGAATGTCTCACTAGCCACGAAAATCCATCGTACTTTTTTCCAATGAAGTCAAAGGAAATATCTACCTCCGTTGTCAGTAACATCTAAACACAGATGCAAAATATCTTATATGGTAATGTGTTTCTGTCTGTTTTCCAGTGTTGACATCATCGCATTACTTTCAAAGCCCTCATATGTTGGGACTATCGAGTTACCGATGCTGAGATTAGGTTCAGAATACTAGGTAACCATGCTAAATCGGTTGATGTGGTTGTAAATCTTTATTGACTGAGGTGTTCTGTTCTATGCCCAACTACATTCCTCACCTTGACAGAGTGCAATGTTTACTGGTGTATGAGTAGTTCGTAAAAAGTTGAAGGAGGCAGTCAAACCCGAGGCATCGCTATGTTGCTAGGTTTAAATTATCATCCGAAATACCTTATGAAGTCCTCATAGTTGAATAATTACTTCATCTTAGTATCGTAGTATGTCTGTAATAGTAGTAGTTTTCTAATTCTTTGTTCTACTAAATTGGTGTAACTCACTTTCATCTATCTCCCATAAACATTATCAAATATGCTGTGTTTTTTTTTATTATCCGAAGGGGTTTTGTAGATGTAATAGTATTTTTAATAGTTGAATTCATGAGTCAATTGAGGCTAAACCACCATGGAAAACCTTGAAGAACTGGATGGCCGTTTCGTTGTAATGTGGGACTCTCCGGCAATGCACATCCACGATCCCGCCTCGCAAGATTCGAACACAGGACCTATCAGTCTCGCGTACGAGCACTTAACTTCTAGACCACTGAGTCGGCATCCAACGGTGTCAGTGTCTAACTTCAACTAATCCACGAAATTGAGCGACACATCATGATCTCAACTATTAAAATTACTATAATATCTACAAAACCCCTTCCGATATTAATCAACATATGCTCACTAGTGACTAGCTTCAAAAGGCATTTCCTGAAGTTCTATTGAGAATCAGTGACCAGTGGAGTTCAACCAAATCTGTTGTGAGATAGTATCTCACTGATGATCATGGTGGATTTGTCACTCAATTTCTTCGATTAATTGAAGTTAGACATTAACACCGTTGGATGCCGACCAGCTCAGTGGTCTGGAGGTTAAGCGCCGCCCACACGCAAGACTGATAGGTTCTGAGTTCGGCTCTTGTAAGATCATGATCGTGGATGCACACTGTTGGAGAGTCCCACAATAGGACGAAATGGCCATCTAGTGCTTCAAGGTTTTCCATGATGGTCTAACTTCAATTAACTCATGATCTAAACTATTAAAATTTTCTTTATTGTTTTAAGTTTAAAATCATTATCATGATCATGAATACGGTGATCCCTTTTAACTCATCAAACATTTTTTCACTTGTTTAGTTAAAATTATTTTGCTTTCTGTTTTTTTTTGTTTTGTTTTCTAATTTCACAATAATCATTTTAACTCACGCTTAAAGTTTATCCTTTTTATACACCGTATAGATTCAATATTGGATCGGTAGGTTTAAGTTTTATTAGTAGTATATGGTATACAAGAAGCAAAAAGTTTTTTTCTCTGCTTCTTTCATTATTCTTTTTTCTATTTGCACTTTTGCTGAATGCTTTTTGATTGCTAGCGATTTTTCGCATGTTTGCTGATCTGGATATACACACACACAAGTTAAAGAGTTTTCTTTATGGCAAAGCATAAGATCACTGTGCGTGTGTGTGTGATGATAGTTTCTATCCCTATCTGGGATCACTGTGGGAAAAAATTACGCTAGAGATAATTTTGTACGGAACGGATGTTTCATTTTTTAAGCTTGAAAGTATCCACCCTTTGTGTGGCTTTTTAAAGCTGATAAGAGAAGAGCTCAGAGTTTTACTACAAGAAGAATAAAGTCTTCCGACGTTGTCTATCCGATAAACGCATGAGTTAAACTACCAAGCTTAGCTTCTTATGTTGATGAATAATTGCTATGGTTTCAGTCACTCATTGCATTGAGTCTGTTTTATCACAGTCGCCTGTATTTGCAATAGTTAGGATTTCTAGTTTTTGTCATCTGTCTAATAAGTATTAAAATTGAGATTCTGAAATTTTCGTTTTAACATAATTTAGGGTGATTTGATCACCACGTTAGATCACGTTTCCTATTTACCAAACTTGCTCCACTCCAGTTTTATTTTATTTTCAAATGTGGAATGGCTATGTAAAGGGTCTACATTGTTCTTCGATCCGATCCAGCCACTGATGCACACTCCAGCGCTTATACAATCAGCTACACTCAGAGAGGAAAGTAGAAACTGTGTATGTATCCTTTATTTCACCAAAAGCTAAATAATCATTCTTACGACTGGTATGTGTATATAAGTTGTGAGAGTGACTCAGACAGGGACATGTGAATTATAGATTTAAGTAGATGAGTAAGCTACTTACAGTAACTGTTGGGGTGATCCAGAAAACTTCTCGCAAAATACAAGAAAGGCTCAGGAAACAGTAAGAAGCATTTTATCCAATCAGCGTCCACTAGAAATGTAGCCAGAAACATTAAGAAAGTGAGAAGTCACATGTGAAGTTTCTGATTAACTGATTATTATCCTGCTACTATGTTTAGTAGCATTGTAGAATTTTAGGGAAACGCAAGGACATCTAAAATACTATGAAAACCTTATATTTTCTGTACTAAAAAGAACCTTTGGAGTAAAGTGCTTCTCGCATATTTTGCGCCTTTTCTCTCGTGTTCAGGTCGCTGTGTAGTTCTAGCTTAGTGGTTACGAAAATAGCTTAGGACCCGAATATAGCGTTGAATTAGCAAGACTTACGAGTAACCTCCTTGCCCACACTTTCACCATAACCCCCATGTAGTCTTGAAACCACGTGATACGTTTGAGATTGTTCGGAAAATTGCAACGCCATTAAAAATTGAAAACGATAAAACGACAAATTAACTGTAGACTGTAATTTTCGGAAATTCCAAAGGATGTGTTGTACACTGAAAATGGAGATATAATACATGTATCGCCACATCTAAGGGGGCGCATATTTTGAAGGCAATACGTTTGAAATACTCTATATTTTGAGAAGTGAGGTTTTTCGTGATCTTGGTTCATCCGGTTCATTGGACAGATCACAAATTATTCAATGATATTACTTGATAGTTAACTATATTCTATCTGTTATTCTGTTTCAATGTTTTATTGCTTAAAACCATTTGTGCTTATGCGTTTGTAAATGTGTGTGTGTGTGTTCTTGCACTATGCTGTTGATCTCTGCTTTTATACCGCTTCATTAATTAACATTTTGCATGCGTATTTTTAAAAATTGTTTCTGTGACTGAACTGATCGATTAGGCGCTTCTTATTTTTGTTGCTGTAATCATTTACAGTAGTAAGAGTTTGTTAGTTTAGATTCGAATCATTGACTCTGCTTTTTTGTTGGTTTTTTTGCATATGGAGTGTAGTTTGTTAGTGACAAAAAGTCTTGAATCATTTGTAATCTTAATAGTTGAGATCATGAGTCAATTGAAGCTAGATCATCATGGAAAACCTGGAAGCACTGGAAGGTTGTTTCGTCCTACTGTGGGACTTCTCAGCAGTACGTATCCACAATCCCGCTTCGCAAAATTAGGACCCATCAGTCTCGCGCGCGAACGCTTAATTTTTAGAACATTCAGCAATACATTTCTATATCTTTTTAGAAAGTTGTCGAACTGATATTGTTTTCATCACATGAACTCCTCTATGAATTTTAATACTGAAAAAAACCCATCAGAAATCTAATCCAACACAAGGAGGAACAACAAACTTGTGTTTACGAAATCAAATGTAGTAATTGTAGTGCTATTTATGTAGGTGAAATATCATGATATTTAAATGTGCGGGTGAAAGAACACAATCTGTACTTAAAGCACATTCCTAAATCATCAGATGATGTAAGAAAACTTGAAAACAAATCAGCGATAGCATTACCTTCGAAAGAATCAAGTCATACAATTGATTTCAATGGCACAAGTAATCAAAAAGGTCTTTATTCTTACAAAGAAAGACTAACAGTCGTAGCAAATCCAAATAGTATTAATAGGAGAGATGGGATACAATTAGCTGTCCCATGGCAACTAATAATTAATAAGTAAACTTGAACTCCTTATTCCACTTAATCTATTACTTATTATCTGAATATGTTGAATAATTAGCTGGAACAGGAAAAGTAACACAAACATTCATTCCTTCATTCTTATTTTGCTTATTTATCTTTATTTTATGCATGTTATCACGTATTCACCGAACAGAGGCGATACATAGTCAGTGAGATTTCTTCTCACATCTCAGATCCACTTACGAATACAAACAATCTGTTATGTTAACCCACTTTTCGTTACACACGTTACAGCTAACTCATACACGCTAAAGCAAATACCTTGATGACCTGTTTATTATATTATATGCAAAGATGGATAGTGGCTAGTAGTGGGGTCTAGGACGCGCGTTTTGTCCTATTTTAAACTCGTCAGATGGATGTACCTGCACCTCAGAGTTGATGTTCCCTTTGGGGCTTAAACTCAGTACTGTTCTATTCAAACGCCATCGCGTTATCCACTTAGCTACTGGGTCTTGACAGCCACTTGCTTGTACGACTATACATTTTTGCATATAATGCTTGTGAATTAAGGCTATATCGAGGCACAGTATGCAAACATGTGTACAGGAGACTGATCAATTGCAGTGCTAAACATCAATGGAAAGATTCTAACAAACAATACCAAGTGAATTTATTTAGTATATTGTTAACCAGGGAACCTTGTACTTATTTATATTCGATAATTTTGATTATATTTCTTTAAAAAAGCTTGAACCAGATTGCCGAGTGAAGCGTTGGATTTACTTCAAATTCGATCGCTGCGATTTTACAGATACAATCTTCCTTCACAATTGATTGATCATTGGATGGTGATCGATGTCATGCTTGTCTAGTCCTTATTAGTGCAGATCGAATGCTATCGATCATGTTGCAATGTGGCCACCAGTCTAGGTGACTCGACACTGCGGGCACTATGTATTGAGATTTAGATGGTGGTTGGAGGTAGTCGACAGGAAACTCTGGACCCGGGTTTCGTGCTTCATGGCACTCGTCAGGAAGGTGTACCCGCGTCCAGAGTTTCCTGTTGACTACCTCCAACCACCATCTAAATCACAGTCTTCCTTCTTAATTGTATTATGTGGCTAAGCGGTGTGAAAATAACCGTTATAGTATAGTCTTTTTTAAAATCTTTGAAGAGAGTGTATATTCAACGTTCAGCTTTCTTTAAGCTTCGGTAAATTATAAATTCCGAGAAAGTAAAAATTTGGTACAGCTGGATCCTGATTTGATTGATTTTAACACATAAATACTGGTACAAGGGGGCACCAGATACATATGCGCCACGTAAATCTCATTTGATTTGTGTGAGGGCTGTGATACTGCCCAGGTGCCCAAACCGAAGCTAGGTCCTAGTCGTCATGCTCTTCGGTTGGATGACTTTTGTAAAAATTCTCATATAAATAGGTCTGTTTATTATCTATGCGGTTCATGCAAAGGTATAAATTGACCCTATGATACATCATCGTATCTTCTTAAAAGTATTACTTACTTACGCCTGTTACTCCTCGTGAAGGAGCATAGGCCATTCACCAGCATTCTCCATCCAACCCTGTCCTGGGCAATCGCTAAAAAAACGCTAACCAGAAAAATAATTCTTAAAAGTATAAAATATATGAATTCAGTTTTAGTCAGTGACGACTAATCTCCATTTGCGATTACTACATCAGACTAAAAGCCAATACGACAGTATTTTGAGCAACAAAAGGTCATCCTAATATCTTGGTAGTTTATATTTCTTGTCACATTTACGTCACGACAACTGCCTAATCCTTTCGAAAAATAAACTGAAATAGAGTTTCTATGGAGTTTCTATAGATAACTCAATAAAAACGTGAAGATGTACATAATTTTAAAGTTTACCATCAATAAGTATGGTATATAGTTTAGTGTAAAATAGTGAAAAGTATTCGATATGAAACATAAAACTTCGTCTTCTATAAGGTTTGTTTGTAGTTCTGAAGGAACTGATGCTCCCCTTTGAAATCGCATCAATTTACAAGCTTTATTTGTCACATATTTATCTCATTTAAAGTGTCTCTGTGTTATGATATTGTTGTTCACTGGTATCACATGATAAAATCACCAATCAGAGTATCGAGTTTTGTAAATTTGTACGTAAGCTAACCAATGACACGTCAACCAGCACTAGTAGCATCAAATTACTGCCAAGTCCTTATTGGTTATCAATTCCTTAATATCTCTCCTTGTCCTGCCTGTTGAGTCCAGAACACTGCACTATAGGAATATCATATTTCAAACATATGTACTTTATAGACAGAAATACCCGACAGCAGCATACTAGGAAATAAAAAAATAGGGGAGATTATAAATAATAAACTGGTAATAGTCAGTGGGCTGATCGAAATCTCATGATGAAAGGAATCAGTCAGTCAGCTACAACGTAGGACCAGGCACATATGTGCATCGGTCCAGGTTGCCATACCGCATCAGCACAACAAGATGAACACCGGATTCATAGCAGTGGTTAGGTCAAAGGTGGTAATATATAAAAGAAAGATTGCATATAAGGGCATAGTACAGCAAGAAAGAATTAGTTCGTAGAAAGAAAGATATGAAGCGATTTTAATCTCTTAGTTTAAGGGAAGACAGGGAGTGTATACACCGACGCCATTGTGGTCGATTCTGAACCATGTCACCAAGAGTCTCCAACCATTGGTTACGATAGTCACGCAGACCCCAACCAAGTAGTCTGCATCTCCCAACATGGAAGGAATATATACACATGTCCGTTTACTTAGTTATACAGTAAGAATATCTATATAATAATACTAGTCCATAAATTAGTTCTGGAAGTTGATATTCCTTTATTCTTTGTTTGGATATTAAACGGTGAAAATCTGGAAGTATGTGACTCCTCAGCAGTGAGCACTCATGAACCGGACAACGACCAAACACTGAACTTTTATGTCATCAATAGAATCACTGAGTTTGGGTCCAACCGTACAATTACAATTAAAATTAGTTTTTAATGAAGCAAAGGAATCCCCTACTATGACAAAATAGTTTCTTGGTGTTTTAATTCTTACTAATACCTCAACTGAGATCAATCTATAATGGTTGAAATCTACATATTGGTATCACACTAAATCCATAGTGGTCGATTCTAACCAAGAATTCAAAAACATGTAAACCATGTTCTCTCCTCTGTAGTTTAGTTTAGTTAGGAAGTATCATCAGCCTTCCTACTAATAATAAAATATGGCTCAAAAGCTTTACCTAGTCAATCAACTATGTTGCATATATTTCATGGTTTCCTAAAATTCTTACATACATATTTTATTAACTGATATCATTAGATCTGAAAACATGTTCACTTCGTCCAGTAATGAAAACTACTCATCTCAAACATCTTTACAATCGATTAAATCATCATCTACGTTTACATCTTCCTTCACAACAACATCAACAACCACGAAATCAAATTCACAATCATTCAAAAGTTCACCAAGTCTCCCAATCGCATTACAAATTGTCCATGACAATGAATACATTACTAATCAACACGAACAAAATTCAACAAATGAAAAAATTTTAAATCATTCTCTTCATCATCATCATCATAATTCTTTATTAGTTACATCACCATTATCTATTCATCACAATAATCATTTAATTGAACCATCATTGAGATCTCGTATATCACCGCAACGTAGCAGGTAGTTATTTTTGATGATAATGATCATAACAATACTGATGAAATTTTTCTTATTGGCTAGCAGTGAACATTAGTTTCTTTTTTCAATAGTTTACCTCTAGATCACTGGTTTGGGTACTTAGTTGTTGGGAGGTTTAAGTACAGTTTAGAGGTGTATTGTTTTCATGTGAGGGGAAAGTGGATCCACGAGCAAGAATTGAGAATTTGCGCCCGAACTTCTAGTGAGAGATCGTGACTGGTTATGGTGTTCAACTTCGTTGACAATGAGATAGTTTATCATCAATGGGATTGAGTAATATTGGACTACACCCCAAATCAGTCAAAATTGAAAATGTAGATCATTGGTTTCTAGTTCATTGTTACCAAGATCAACCATTCTCCATTAACTGACACAGTAATAATTTAAGAAAGATAATGGTTGATTAATTTGGTTACTGCACGTGTTTTCCATGATACTCAACCCCAGATGTCAAGGTGGATTGTGCACATAAATCGGTAACTAAGTGAGCAAACAAGTTTTAACCTTAAG